GATGAGTAGTATTCTATGTAATGTATAGGGTCAATCTAAATCAGATTATTCTCCTAAGATGCTAAATTTGTGGCATAGAAATTCTTCAAGAAATATGCAGAATAAGAAAGAAAGACAAGAATGACCATTTTAAATAGTAGCCTTTGTACAAAAAGAACATCTGAAACTGAGTGGAGCAAATACTCAAGTTTATAAATAGTTACTGTACAATAAAATAAATGGGGAATGTTTAAATAAGGAAAAAGAAAAATTTAAACTATGCACAGTTTTATCATTGACTTAGATAGATAGATTAAATTAAACTATGCATGTAGTTAGTTTTATAATTTTCTGAGATAGAATACGCTGCACATAGCTACATATTACTATGCCGAATATCAACTGTGTGCAAGTTTTGTCGCTGTCCACAATACGTACATGGTTCTGTCACTGTATGACACGAGATAAAAGGAATCATCTGAACTGTGCACACAGACAGAATCATTTAAAATTGGCCTAATCTGAGATAATTTCAACTGTACACAGTTTTTCTACTGAGTTAAAAATTTTTTTAACTCTATACAGTTTCACTGTCTGAAAAATAATTTAAACTGTACAGTTTTGTCACTGTCTGAGACCAAATAATTTAAACTTTATATATCTGTTACCATGACAAGATAATTCAAATCATGAATAGTTGTGCACTGACTATTTCTGTTTATAAGCACATTTTATGCACTTTTTTTGTTCTGTTTCTATTTTCGGAGCCAAGGAGAATGGTGTTTTATAGAAGTGTCATACAGTGCACATTTGGGTAATACCGAATGTGATGTACAAATAATGCATTTCATCCAAAATGAGAAATTAAATCACAAACGACACTAATACAACAGACAAATATAAATTGTGGTTTTTAAATGCAACTGTAAACATATATGCAAATACAAAGCAATTTACATGGGCAAACAAATGCACGATGCAACTGACCCCTTTATATTCATAAGCAACAGCTAAAATACAGAATTACTCAAGGCTGTTACGCTAGGCTCTAGTGCAAATACACCAGCTAAATGAATTCGAGTCCTATCTTGGGTTCACATCTACATTGAAGCATATGTTTTGTTCTTTCAGAATTCACCTTTGCTCACCCCAGGCTTAAAATGAGTTTCAGATGTCCTGGGAAGTAAAGGCGTCCAGCATGATGACTACATCATCAACTGAATGCTGATCTGTCTATATAAAAAAAATGAGTCCTATATCGTATGCCTGGTGTGCTGCTGGTATAAAAACGGTTCTTTCTCTAATTAAAAGCTGTGCATAGATTTTTAGTTATTATTTAATGCATGCCTATGTTCATATATATATATATGTTTTACTTTCTACAATGTCTTCTAATTTATCTGCTCTAGAAGCCTGAGCATTCATGGGGCTACCTCTAGGAGCAACAATTCCTGAAGCATAAACCACAGATAGAAGTAAAAGACCATGCTACAGATCATGCCAGACAAACATGCAGTGAGACCATGTCAGCTAACCTACAATGACCAACAACACCAAAAACACTGCAGCCTGTGCTACAGTGTCAACATAAAAGAAAATGACAAAAATGGAAACCAAAAAAAAAAAAAACCCTCTCAGAGGAAGCTTTCGGAGAAGGGTCATCCCTACCGGACACTGTGCTGCGTGGTATGCAACAGGTCGCACGAAGAGTTTTGGGGGCGTAATAACATGAGCAATAAGTCCTGAATGGGTGGTCATTGGTAGAAGGCACTGTGAGAAGACATATTAGTTGTCTGAGAAATTTGCCCAGAATAACTGAGTATCAACTGTTTACGTGCCATTAACATTATACACAGTTAAACATTTCTAGCTAGGAAACTATAACATCATTTGCCAACTGTATAACATTCCATGAAAAAAGGCTGGTAAAAAAAAAATCATTTATTGTCTTGGATTTTTTGGGCTCCCTGGTCACATCCATTTATTTGCCCACGCTAACTGCCATAATGTCATTTCAATGGGTTCTGTGTAACAGAAGCGATGTCATTATACTCGGAACACACAATAAAGAGCCCCCGTCTCTAATGAGCCCCACTGCAATAAGCAGACACCAAATATATGGTAACTAACAACAGGATCATTATAAAGTCCTGGTATAAATGACAAGGCTTCTGTGATATAGAAAAATGACCCCTTCTGTAAGATGCTAGGTAGGTAATGTTTCTTCAACTGTTTTTATGTATGGAGAAAAGGTTGCTCACGGAAGGCAGACGGAAACCAGACACCTGATGACAGCATCCATTGGAAAAGTGAACCAATAGTTAAGTGAATACAGAACAGGAGCATAATGATGAATGCATAAAAACTCATGGCAAGATATGTAAGCTTGGTATAAAACAGTTGATGATAGTGAGAACTATGTATGGACTCTTCTTACTTTTCTCATTCTCTTTCCTAAGCTACCTCATTGAGGTGTTGCAGGGCACTGTCAGCATCCTTTTGGTGCTCTTCCTAATGCATTGCATAAGTTCATTTCTTTGAGGCTGTTTTTTGATGCCGCTGTACCATGTTTTGCATGGTCTTCCCCTTGCTCTGTTTTCATTGTTTTTCTTCAGCATAGTTTTCTGTCTCAGTTGTTAGCTGGACATTACTGTCACAAGGTCAAACCATTTGATCTGTTGCTCTTTAATGAACTGTCTGCCTGGTTTGAATCCCAGTGCTCTTCTAATCTCTTCATTTCAAATGTTTTCTTTTCTTGTTACTCGGAGAGCTCTTTAAACATACAGAACAACTAATCGTAACGTGGCTTGGGATGAGACAAGTTGGAAATGGAACAGGAAATACTTTATGTATGGAGAGCTGAATATGAACATGATATGGATAGTTCAACATATATCAACTCATAATATGGAATAAGTGATGATAAAGAGCTAAATTTAGAAATGATATAACAGTTTAATATATAATGGCTAAAAACATGCAATAACCAATGATACAGAGCTAGTTAAAGAAATGATATGTGCACTTTCACAGATAACAACTAACGACACACAATAACTGATGATATACATCATTGACTTAAAATATGCCCATTAAATATGTTAAACCAGTTCTGTGTCCTACAATAAATGCCAAAAGACTGTCTAAGAAACAAGACTAAATGTTAACTAGATTATTCTGCAAACTCATAGCACTGCTTGAAGCAACTGTATTTCTAGCTACAGTTGTTCGATTTCTTACCATCAGATAAGTTAGAATGAAAGAAGAAAACTAGCAGTTCCATTGTGGATACTGCAATCTGGATGTGAACTGTTAGTGTAGTACTTTACATACACTAGGTCATAGAATAACAAGCTGGGGTAATTAGTTCCATCTTTCCTAACCCGATAATATCCTGAAGATTATATGATAATCCCTTTCATGAGGCCAGACTGGCCATTTGAAAGGGAAAAATCCTGCCACTACTAGAGAATACTAACCACTATCCCACCATATTCTGAATGATAAATAAATTCAACATAACCACATAAGTACGTAAGCAATGACTGTCAATTATCCAGCAGGAGTAATATGTAGAAAACAAACTAAACAAATCTGCAGGACAGTAGAAGCCTCTTTTCGCAGTGGTCCATCACAAGCTAGTTTGGTTCGAGCATGAGGTGAGACATGATTCGAATGCAAAGACTATACTTCAAGAAACACTGGGGTAGTCGAAGAAGAGGGGGCAAAGAAGAAACTGGAATGCTAACATCCAGAAATTGAGGGACTAAATTATCAAATACTTGTTCAACAAGCGGAAGTCAGAGAAAGATGGCGGATGGTGTGTGCTAGTGATTCCACTGATACACCTCCACGACACTAACAGGTCAAAGGTTATGTTATGTTAAGCATAACAGAGTAACAAAATAACTTTTCAGAATTCTTGAGCTTTGTCATGTACTATGCAAAAACTGTTCCAAAGAAAATAGTGCAGGCAAATCTTTCTTATTCTTTATTGTCATGTATACATTTATGTGACAGATTCTGTGCAAAGCTGAAAGGATGCAAAGTGTCTAGTGTCAGTGACAACTTCAGAAGATTACAGCCAATAAGCAAAAGTTGAGAACACAACAATTTAAGCAAAGAGGGAAATTATTTTTATGACTAGTCTTAAATGGCAGCTGTCGTACCTGACAAATGAACCTTCTATTATGTACAAATAGTGAATAAATATAACAACAATAAATCCAACATTCAACTGTCTCAACCAGATAGTAGGCTTCACCTTTGTTGGAACATATTCAAGACTGGAGGACCCAAACAGAAGAACAAAAGCAGATTTTATTGACTTCTGAAGCAGCTGAGTACAGTGGAGGATGCCATCAATTCTGACTGTTGGTTGTGGAAGTGACAGGACACTAGATGCTTGTTTACACAAGACAGAGACTTCCGCCACCTGCTGCCACTACCTCCTGCCACCACCCGCTGCCACTACCTGCTGCACTAGCATTCTCTTCATTCAGGCCAGGAAGCCATTGCTCAATGTGGCAGCCCCATCCAGAACTAGAAGGTCATGCAGAAACATCACTGGCCATTGTGTTACCATTCTGCATTACTTGCTTTTTTTAACTGCAAGCAGCTAAATCTCTCTCTCTCTCTTTCTGTGTTTGTGTGCGAGAATGTATGTTTTTAATTTTTTTTTTAAGCAAAGCAAAATACATGTGTAGAGAGTTGAGGACATGACACTCATTATAATACCACTGTGCCCTTACACACACACACAAAAAACGCTTTAGGACTTTCTGTTGAGCCCTTTCAACAATGCTCACCAATGTTAGTTGTAATGCTAAATGATCCACTGTTTATTTGCCTGTGTAACTAATAGACTCAGTAAAGAAGTAAACGACTTTCTCTCTAACACACACGTTTAACATAAAATGTGTTCACAAACTAACTGTTAACAATGTTGTACATTTCAAAATTGAGATGTTAAAAGATATTGGCAGAAACCTGAAGAAAACAGCAGGATAGTCATCTCTTACCTGTACTCTCAGGTGACTGCAGGCATCACCTTCGCAGAGGCCTTTCTTCTCATAGTAGTCACTGACTTCATCGAGTTTACTAGTGAAATCTGCTGAAACTGAAATTACATGCAGGAAGAAGTACATTTTCAAACCCACTGTTATGCACTTGAGACAACCTAATGCATTTGAGGGTCAAAAACTACTTCACTGAAACAAAACTTCAGATCTGTGACATTAAAAATATTTCACCATCAAGAAAGCTTTTTCTTGTAAAAACATTGTATGGCACTCTGATATCAGGTTGCGTTAGGGTTATTAAGGGTGTTAAGAATGTCCTATAAGTGGCATCACAGAGCAAAGGAACTGTGTGACTTCATGACTTTAAAGTAGGGGTAAAACAATGGCCAGACAGATCACTTGAAACATGTATAAACAACACCAGTGAAAATATGGTTAGAATTGAGGCTCCTCTTTTCTCTCACATAAATAACCTCTTGCATCCAGTCAAACAATACAGCAATCATTGTTGAACTGCCTAGTTCAGAAAAATTGTGGAACTAGAGTGAACTGAAGTTCCACCTAGTATTCAGTCTGAAGTTCCTGTCAGCAGGAAAAAATTAATGGCACATAAGGCAAACTAAATGGAAAACTTTTATTTTCTGACCTCCATTCACAATGATCTACCCACCGGCACAAACATGCTTATATGAGTGAAGACCTGTGACAGACATAAGTTATTCATCGGGGAAATAACTACCTGATCTGAACCGAAAATGTTTTGCCATACTGTTTTTTGGGAAGTACATATTTAGCAAAATCTATCACTCTGGTTCTTGATCTTCATTTGGCAGAGCTTAGATTCTAAGCACAGACTGGACTTTGTACCCACAACACATCTGAAATATGCTGCTGAACACACTCCCCCTCCTCTCAATAAATCTGTGTGACACCTATAATTTAGAGTGTGAACCTATGATATTCTATATTATTATATCCAAGACTCTGGTGTCGACTAGTCTTAAGAAAATGGATACCATGGTACTGGCAGTATGTCCAATACTGACCTTGTGTTCCCTTTAACTCTTTCACTACCAAAGCATTCACTATATGTTTCCTGGTCACTACATACATGTTATATAACCACTTCATGTTTCTGTACCATTCTTCTATCATGTTAATTCATTCTCTTCCAATTGTTAATTAACTTATTCTGTGCCATAGTACTATTTTAACTCATTAGGATTCAAAAACTGTTACTCTAATGTTCACAATTTAGAACCAAGACAGTTTAAAAAAAACCTTGGAGTCAATCTGCAAAGTTTTGTGAGTCAAGCGACTAATATTGAAGATGATAAGTTCAAAAAAACCTCAGAACATTTGGGAAATTTCCATAAGCATTCTGTCCCCGTCTTCAGCAGTCAGTGGCAGAATTCCAGTGGTAGCAATAGCAATATGATTTTATGCCAGTTAGTACTGAAGATGTGGGTGTAACTTTCATCATTATGTTGATGCTTATTCACTAAATGGAGCTGTTGTGGTTTAGCTACTCAACTGCAGATCCAAAGGTCATGGGTTCATAATCTGGCAGAGCCAGACTTTAAAAAAATGACCTTGGCTCCCAGGTCGACCCAGCCTTAAATGGGTGTAAGGTGAAGCTCTGAGAAGTAAAGGCGGCTGGCATGATGTTAATCACATCACCCCCCCCCCCCCCCTTCCTAGTGCCAATTGGTCTATAAAATATAGGTCTAGCACTATATGCCCAATATGCCTCAGGGTACAGAAAACAGTCCTCTACTTTTACTTTTACATTCAGTGAACCAAAATATATGTCCACCAAGTGATGAAAATGTGTCAGAGAACATGACTTTCTGCATGTACATGTGTTACTTTACTTCTTTAGCTCTAAAAGTCAATCAGAAAAGAGGCATACTCACACAACATATCATCCTGCTCTGACGAAAACTGTTTCCCACCTTTACCTGAGCAATGTCCAACTGCAAAAGGTGAAAAAAACAAAAACAGAACCATCTGAAATAATAGCTTCACAAATGAACTAACTAAGTGTTTTACCAAGTCAGTCTAAATTTTTTGACTATCAGTGACACACTCAGTGATGTTTAGTCTGTTATAAAACAAAAGAAACAATCAATTATCTTAGTATTATGTGGCAAAATAATAGACCTTGACTTAAGAGACTTCAATAAGGCAAAACACTAAGAATCTGGGAACACCTTCTAGGAAGTTTGTGAAGTGACCTGTATAAAAATGTACTAAAGCAGAGTTTGATTTCATGAGAGGGGAAAATGCCAGATGAACCTGAGCCGAGCTCCACTGTGGAAATATGCAGAATGCAGTAAACATTCTGACAGCGTTTATTAGTGCTTCACAGACTTGATTCCCACTATTAATATTTTATTTCAAAAGATCACACTGGAACATTGACTTTCATCCCTTCTCTGCCTAAAAAGAGTTTTCTCACCTTGAAGGAAGTGAATATAAGGAGGGAAGGGAATATGTGTTTGAGGGGGGAGGAAGTATTTCCATTTCTTCAGTGATCACTGACTCCTGATTAGGCATTATGACCTCAGTGGGTTTTTTCTTTCTTTTGGAGGGGATTTGGTGAAGAGGAGGAAGTTCATCTAATTCTAAACAAATAAGAACTTAATGCTGGTCCCATGAGCTAGTAAATCTATCATAGCTCAGGAGCTAGTGTATCTATCAGTGAGTCAGTGTAATTCCAAAAGTCTGAGAGCTGGTATATCTCTCATGGCTCATTGAGCTAGTGTATCTTCTTAACTCAGTAGTGTACCTGTCTTGGCTCACTGAGCTAGTGTATCTATCTCAACTCAGTGAGCTAGCTTATCTATCTCAACTCAGTGAGATAGCGTATCTATCTCAACTCAGTGAGATAGCGTATCTATCTCAACTCAGTAGCTAGTGTATGTATCTCAACTCAGTGAGCTAGCATTTCTATCTCAACTCAGTGAGTTAGTATATCTATGTGAGCTAGCATATCTATTTCAACTCAGTGAGTTAGTGTATCTATCTTGGCTTATTGAGCTGGTGTATCGATCTCAACTCACTAAGCTAGTGTTTCTATCTTAACTCAGTAGTTATTTCCAAAATGTAAAAATCTGCACTAAGAAATGTTATTTTTAATTATCTTTAACAATACACATACAATGTAAAAATAACTTTTATGTAACTTGTATACAATTTAAACCCACAAAGGCTTTTCAGACACCACCATGTGGCATCTGGTATATTTCATCACAAACACCCACAGTCCTGAATAATGTAGGATTTGTGAAACTGCCGAGGATCTTGAACAATCCTCAGTTTCAGTAATCTAATTCTAATATTCAATGTGACTAGGTACATGTTCACAAACAGTATAAGTATGCAAGTACTCCTGACCAGTCTCCCAGGCAGGCAGAAATATGAATACGAAAATCTACACGGTCTCAGAATTTACGTTTGACACATGAGATTTGGTGAATCTTTGGTTCACTGACTCATATTTAGGCTGACAGGCCTATTGACAACATGTGAGCTGATACTGAAACAATATGGAGATTAGCTGTTTTCCCACATCCTAACAATAGCTTCAAAGTTTCACAGACCCTGCACCACATGAACAGTTGTTTTCAGAGATGACATAAAATAGAAAACAGCCCCACATATCAAATCCCAAACCAACCAAGCCTTAGATATTATATGTGTGTGTGTGTGTGCGTGCGCAAAGTAAATAGCAGCAAAGCTTCATGAAATACCACGTATATACATATACACATAAGATTCATGAGAATAATGCAGTAAGCGCAGTGGCAGAGGTAATATAACGAATGAGCAGACAGAAAAAATGGGACATTAACACCAACATCCCTCAACAAACCGAGATCTATAACATGTGTTGACTTTCTGAAAATAAATGCAGGCAATTATTCATATACGCACATAGTATGTGACAATGATAATAGGTATACAGCTATTTATGTTACAAAAAAAATAAGACATACATACAGGTATATTTTACATACAGAAGAATGATACTTATCTAAGGTTACAATATGATACACATAAATTATAACAAACATAATATAATGCACAGTATATGTACACACTTGTTGCTATGCAGAGAAAACAAAGATGCTGAAAATCAAAATACATAAATTACAATGTTGACTTACAATGTTGAGTACTTCAGTAATAATTCCAGTTAGAAAAAAAAAAAAACCAGACTGACAGTCTCAGATATATACAGCAAGAAAGGTTTCATATTAGAACTGAACTATTCTGTTCAGTCCATTATTTTTCCCTTGAAGGAAGGGGAGCAAAACATCAATTCAGCATATGCCATTTTTAAAGTTTGCAGAGAGCTGTATGGTTTGATTTCTATTTCTGTAGTGGTAGCAACACAGTAGACACAATTCTACACACAGAAGTGGCTGATTATACCAGCACCAACATCAGGGACCCCAGGCCATATATGGGAGTTACGGGGCCCCATTGCGGGGGAAAACAAGAATTGACCTACTGTCCCCTTATCAAGCATGGCATAAGAGTCAACCAGGGATGTTTCTTTTCAACTCAAAGAGTACATTTATCTGAGAGGCGAGGAACCAATAGTAGACATATAAATAAACGAGGTCTGTAAACTGATGTCAACGCCAGAACTTGACAGCCGGTGAACACGACGATGCAGAGAGCTTATTACTAGCTGGCCGTCCTGAAGGTCTTGGGTTCAAACTGGCATTAAGTCTGACTTTGTTTCTGTAACTAACCTTGGCTCCCAAGCTAACCCAGACTAAAATAGGGAAATGCTGAGGAAAGTAAAGGTGGTAGGTGGATGTTAACCACATCACCCAGCAAGTGTTGATTGGTCTATAAAAACACAAGTCTAGCACCAATGCACCACTGGTGAGAAAAAAGTTCATTACTCTTTTACATCAGATTATTCAAATGTAGTGGAATCCTAAGCGTGTTTATGTCGCAAAATCTGCTGTAGCGACTTTAATACCAAGAAAGGTTCTAGCGAAGACAACTGTAATAATTTAAACAGCAAATTACTCATTTAAATCAGCGACATGAAACTGGCGTGTGCATGGAGGGATGTTTCTTGAGCTAAGTCTGGGTGCTGGTGTAATCAACAACAGACTGCACCATAAACTGTTGCATCATCCAAATCAAAATACTCAGTAGCTTATTCTGGTCGAGATGTGTTTATTTATATATTGGATGGGGAAGTGTCAGGTTGCTGAGTTCTGGCAACCTCTGTCTCTCACAGACCTGCATGCCCTATTCGTGACCCTTTGGAAGTAAAGTTTGCTTATTTTCTATATTCTCTGTCTGTCTGTGTGCGTGCATGTGTGTGCGCGTGTGCATGCATGCACCTGCTATTTGCCTGTAAGTTTCATGCTACTTCAATCAGTAAATCTACATAAAGTACACACCATAAATGATACATGAAACATATGTAGGACTATAACAGCAAAAAAACTGTAAATTACAATTGAATACATCAAGCATGCATACAACAGTACATGATAGAAAACAATTTCCTATGAATTCTAAATGTATAAAATGCTGTTTTTATTACTTCCAACCACATATTATTTGGCAATTTTATCAACCAAGTTAAAATATTATCCTATAAAAGTAATCTAATTTATCTGACAACATCTGGTATTTTTTCTTAATAACTTTAGTGCAAAGTTAACACATGATGTTACACATTACTAGACTTTGGGTCATCAAGGAAGACTGAATAATAAACAGCATCCTGTCTCGAAGCAGAAATATTTTTGTCACATCAAGCGCCACAATGGATTGGAAAAAATTTAGCAGAAGGCATGGTGTCTGGAAGGAGGGGCAGGGGCCGACCAACATGAAGATGGGCACACGATATAAGCGACTCCTTGAGTGTGAAAGTGCATGAGGCGGGAGAGCTGGCGAGAGACTGAGTTTCTTTCAAGCAGACTGTGATAAGAGTGACGTTCTGCAAAGGACCTGCTACATGATGATGACAAGACATTGGGTTCTAACGTTTTAATAAGTTTAAAGTGGTTGAAACATGAACAAAAATGGTACATTAATGGTTCAATACAGCCTGTGAGTTGCTTGGTCACACAAAGACAGTATACTGCTATGCTCTACACTATCATAGAGAAATGTTATTTTAACCCATTCTATCTGGATTTTTGGTTGAATATCCTTTGTCCCACTCAAATTTAAAAAAATTTAGTTTAATATTTTTTTAACCCCTTTCTGACACGTAATACTTTTCAAGTACAACATCTTAGGGAAGAATGAATTACTTTCAAGTACAACATCTTAAGGAAGAATAATTTACTTTTAAGTACAACATCTTGGGGTGGAATTATTTACTTTCAAGTACAACATCTTGGGGTAGAATGTAGGACTTTAAAGTACAACATCTTGGGGTAGTAGAACGACTTAAATAATAACTGCTGGGCACATATAAAAGTTAACTTGTGTACCTATCATTGGGCACTAAAGGTAAGCTCAATCAAATGTCTATCATGTTACTGTCTCAACAACAAAGTATATTAAATAGCCCCCATCCTGTTGTTTCTTTCCATCCCAATGTTGTGAGCTTTGTCTCCAGCAAATATGGCCAACCTTTGCTGTGCGTCAGAACCCTATGAGTACAGTCATGTGGCGGAGCAGACTACACAAAGTGTCCACCGTGTCCAGGGTACACCCCAGAGTTGACACAAAGGTCAGTGGCGTGACTGGCCAAGTCTGTGCTGTTTGCGACGGTGAAACTAGAGCTCAGTAGAGATCACTTGAAGACTACAAGTAAGAGTGAACTCTTTTCCGAACAAGTTCGCAACAGGATTGTCCCATGACTTACTGAGCGGGTTAACGGGTCAAAAGGCATGAGGTGAGAGAACATGGGGATTCGAGGTGCAGTGTTAGGGCCGAGTGGACGTGTTAGTGAGACAGAGATAGAACGTTAGAGTTAGGATATTTCTTTAGTGACTGCATAGATTATTTACAGTGTTCTGTTAGAATAGGATAGTCTTTTTGTTCTGTGTATTTAAATGGTATAATGTATTGTGTTGTTTCACAATAAGTAGGTAGTGTCCATTTATTTATGACCAGTTAAATCAGTAAAATACATGTTCTGTGTATAATGTCTAGCTTTGTCACACTGACCCTGCGCTCGACAGGGGCTCTGACATCTTGGTAGGTCAGTGTGACGATAGGAAAGAACGTCCCCCGCACAGGTGTGGTTTGCACACCCGAGATTGCCCGTGGAACGGACTGGAGAGCGAGGCGATTGTAAAGCTCGTTCGGCCAGAGGGTCCAGGCAATAGATGGTCACACAGCGGGAAGTAAACTGTCTGTTGTAATATCTGTACTTGCAATGCAGATTGTCATGTGTGCCCTGTGTGCGTTCGGGTCCAGTGTGTGTCAAAGTTAGTTTGTCATAGGCCCAGTTACGAGCCACGGACCATCAAGGTCACCCAGAGGTCTGTGACACTGTGCTTATATTTTATATCTTGAACTGAAACCCATCACGGATGAGAACAGGCAGCAGTACTGATCAATTATTGACTGAAATTTAACAGTGTTAGAACACTGGTTAAAAAAAAGCATTTATGCCATTTATGGGGACCATACCAAGAAGTTCCGGCTTAACTTCCAGGTTTACCCTACTTGAAATGGGTATAAGTAGATGTTATGGGAAGTGAAGACAGCTAACGTGAGACTGATCATATCATCCTTCTAGTACCAACTGATGTAAACAAATGTGGGTCTAGATACCGAACTCTGTCATCATAAGAAGCCACAAAACTGACACTTCTGGGTGGGTCAAATTCCCTTAGGAAGTCATTTAATTGACTTTTCTAGAGTGATGTGTTTGTAAGATGTACAGTTAATGTTACTGCAAACGTTTAGGAGGCCAGAAAATGAATATAATAATAAACAGTTGGAAAGGTTTTCCTGTGAATTTTATGAAAGCCAAGTTGTCATAAACATTTTCAGTAAGCCTTAGTGATAATAAATGACGCCATAAGTCACACAATATATCGGGGCCGCGTTAGCGCAGTCGATAAGAGGCTCGCTTTCAAATCCAGCTGCGACTCGCTGCAGCCCGCAGTCGGTGTTCGAAACCGGGCGGTTCTCGGGGTTCACCCAGCCTCTAAGAAATGGGTACCAGAGTTGACACTCCTGGGTAAATGGAGGAACGTCGCTGTAGCTTCAGAGTTACGTGCGGATGGTGACACAGGTGGACAATTCTTATCAGCTGTCCGTACTTGTGGCAGAGCACTTATGGTTTATGCAATGACGCTGGTTCAAATCTCCCGACTTTACCTTTACCTTACCTTTATAATATATTTTTTTGTTTTTAGTCCTGGGGAATGTATTCCGTTGAATGTTTCATTCTGTTCATGTTTATTGAATACTCTTTGTAAAAACAATGTGTTCTTAAAGATTTTTCAGGAATTTCCTCAGGGTCAAAACCCATGTTTCTTCTTTCTTTTTTTTTTTTTTTTTTTTTTTTTTTAAGTGTTCCCAGGGGGACGGATCTGATATATCACAAGGCCAGAAAAGAGTGATTTTGTTAACTTTTCTTTATAACTGCAGAGAGCTGCAGTACTTGGGTCAATGCAGCAGTAATGGAACTGATGACCACAACACAGAAAACAAACTTCATGTGCAAGCATAATTATTTAAAATGCACTGGTTTGTTTCCTGAAAAGTCAAGTCATCCGTGATCTTGATGAAGCCTGATGAGATATGCATGGACAACTAAGTGCCACTAGAGACGATCATGTTCACAAAGATAAGACACATTAGATAGATCAGGTAATGGTGAAACAGAGCACTGAAGCACAGGTGAACATTCACAGGAAGGGAGAAAAGTCAATACCATCACATTCATCTTACTCAGAGTGCTCTCTAGACTGATGTCTCCACTACACCCATCCACCTTGATGGGTGTAATAGTGCACGTCTGAGTGCACTGCCCATTGCAGTCTGCAATTCTGTTGCGGGAACGAGTCTCAATAATGCATTTCTCTTCATTGTTTTCCTGGCGACATCAAGTGATTAATAATAATAATGTAAACTGACAAGTAAGACAATATAAGGAATTATTATCTTAGTATGCATACAACAAGGAGAATCTGTGGTAAATACGTTAACATACATATGTTACTGAATGTTGCCTTTGACAATATGTTTTCAATTACAAAACAGTTTATGCTTGACGAGTGTTAAGTCTCAAAAGGTAAGACTGTTGAGAATGATCTGGGCATCGTTTACAAGTTGTCTTCACTGCACTCTATAAAACTCTATTTACAGCTTAAATGTCTAATAGAACAAATACGTTGGTGTAGAGCAGTTACGTCAGTTGTTTTTATATCCTGTTGATTTTTGCGCTTATTGTACTATTCCTTAATCTTCTGTTCCACATTTACCACACAGATGCTATTTCGAATTGATGAGTCCTACGACTGTGCTCATTCTGCCAGAGAAGTGAGTAATTCTGTTCCATTCCATGTCACCTTCTGTTCCAGTTGCCGGGCCAGCTAAATTGTTTACCCTGGTATTTCAGTGTTTCTATCATACTGTTTGAACCATCTGCTTGCAGTGCATCAGTGTTTGTGATGCCAGATGATCCGTGTTCTGAGCTATCTTCAAGTTATATGTGCAAGCCGTTTTAAGCTAGAAGGTAAAACAATGTCGGTTTCACTGAAGTCAAATGCAAGCCAATTAAATATCTATTATAGGACCACCAAGAAGACTTTCTGGATGATGATGATAAATAATCTAGTAATTAACTTGGTTTTCTTCAAGAAAGGGTCTCATATATACTACTTTGCCTTAGCTAAGTAAGCTTTCAGCTACAAGTATGTTTTCAATGCTCCTAAATTAGGTTTACCTTACATAGCTTCTTCTATATAATCTATCAATGGTTGTGGTAATTTTTCTTCATCTGGTGTTTTTCTCTGACTTCCTACTACATCTCATTTGATTAACGCAGCTGTATAACTACTGCTATCTGGAAAACTTCATGTGCAGAGACACATTAGGATATAACCAGGTCATGCATCAGCACAGCAAATACAAGACTAGGCAATATAAGCCTTCTATTGGCAATTATTTCCTCCTAGGGTTTTAGGCAGCTCAGTGTTAATGTACTCCAACTCAGGAGTACTCAAAGAGTGACAACTAGAGGTCAAAGTGTGCTCTTTCCCATCAGGTTTAATCAGTCTAAATTGCGCACAAATTAGTTACAGAAATCCTGTCTATAAACTCCGGCTGTAAACTCTGAGGCAGATGCACTTTAACTCTGAAGGAAACATCCTTAATTAGTTTACTAGTATGATAGGCTCGTTAGGGGACAGTAGGTCCATTTATTTTGTTCCCCACAATGGGGTCCTGAAATCCACACAGGAAGTTACAGAAATGACATCTCCATGAAGACTATCTTTTGTGTGTGTGTGTCTGAACATACAACTCACTGTCTTGCAGATAACTCTGCTTTCTGCCTCAGCTGGCTTCTGCTGACAGTTACTGTGGCTACTGGCAGGAGATTCCTGGGGCACTGCACTCTGAGCTGCATAGTGGTACTTGAGGTAGCACTTCATGGCCCGGATTGTGTCCAGCACACCAGGGTAGTTCTGGTCTGCAGCGAGAGCTTCCTGATAATGGTGGGCTGCACCGGTGTAGTTGCGCGTGGCCCACAGCAGGTGACCCAACAGGAAGTGGCTGGCAGGCTGCAGAATAATAAATACTGTGTCAGTTTCCATGCATGCAAACCTTAATTTTTGTAGTAAGCTACAAAAAACCCAGAGATGCGTGGGTTGTCTATAAGTTTATGTACGCAACTACCAACACAGTAGTCCTGGTTCAATCTCCCGTTGTGACAGGGTTAATATATCTTTCTCATCGGGATGGTTATGACAGTAACCTAGGCTCAGATAAAGTACCAGAAATGTTTATAGGAAAGCAAGGTCCGAGCAAAACTGAGCACACTTTCACCTCATGGGCCATTTTGTTCACTGAACATATGAAACAGGTACCACATTTCCACTTTAATTTATTCTTCTCTGCTGGGATTTATGCGTCTCCCAGGATTAATGCGTCCACTCCACCAGGATTTACGCGTCCTCTAGAATTTATGACTCCAACTTACAATACAAACCTAGGCGCTCTAGGAACAAAGTGGATGGTCTACTTGCATGAAAAAACAGCAGCTCCAGATAAAAAATAAATACTAGGCTTGGTTTGTGACATTTTGTAAAGGATACGCAACTAACTTTTTCAAGTATAAAAAACTCCCTGTGGAACTACCAGGGAAGAGCAGTCCAGTCAATAAAATATGCTAGGAAGTCAGAAGTTTCATCAAACAGCTGAAGTATAGCAGTTTTGCAGAAAGCAGATACAGTGCCAATAGTAGAAAACTTAAAATCCAGAAAGAAAGTAGAAAATAAGAATAATATGACTATATAAATAAACAGATAATCAAAGTTAGAACACTGTGCTTAAGTAAATTAAGGAAGAGATGAAGAAGAGGGCCAACAGTATGATGCAATAAAGAAAATTTAACGCGCTTCAGAAAATTATGTGTGGAGGACATTACATAAGATATTTTTCTGGATAATTGTATTGAAAAAAAAAACTTGATTGCATTAAAAAAATTGATTCCAATGACACATTAGGAAAAAAATTCAGCATAAAAGGATGCTCTCATCTATTTACACACATTCGCAGTGTAAGAAAACACTAGGAGAACATAGAAAATACTACACTTCTGAAGTAACTTGTGTATTCCAACATGGTCATGAAACTTCACATGCTTCAGCAGTTTCCACATCAGTTCAGTTTGTTTCATAAATACTGATTTACTAACCTCACTATGTATAAAGTTTTTTTTATAATTAAAAACTCTCATTTAATATTCTTAAACGTCTCTTAATACCATACTAAAAACGTCAAGATTTTGAGTGCAAATGCAATGTAGTCCATTCGGTCAAACAAATTATGGAACTTATAATATATTCTTAATATGCCTTTGTGGTAGATAAAAAAGCTCATTTTTATTTAGGAAATCACACTGACTGACCTCTGCATCATTTAGATCCAACGCATCCCGCATGATAATTATGGCATCATCGTAACGTCCATAGCGGTACAGTATGTTGGCAAGGTTAACGAGGGGTACATCCCGGTACTCCAGTGGGCTCAGGTAAATTGCCCTGCGAATGCACTCAATCCCATGATAGTTGTTGCCAATGATACGCCAGTACAGCCCAGCTAAGTTGTACAAGATCCACTGGGGACCAATATTCTGAGGATAAACAGGTTCATAAAATAAGTTTGGTTGAAAATACACCTACACACACACACACACGCGCATGCACACAAGTACACACACATAGGGACGCAGGCATGCATGCATATAAAGTCCTTGCTTGACTTTAATGGTTTCTATAAATACACAATGAGCAGATGCAGATGTAAAAACAGAGAGAATGAGAATTCAGGCCGATAAATAATATACTGCGGACACAGAAGAGAAATATAGGAGGGTGTGGTGTGAGCTGACTGAAACCAATGCTCCATTGGGGATTAGTAAGAACACATGCAAAAAGGGCAGCTTTACAGTGGTGGCTAGTGGACTCATCTGCTGGTGGTTACAAATTCAAATCCTTCTCTAGGCTTTTATTTTTCTCTCATGGCTACATACCTCTGGAGCTGACCCAGTCTCATCAAACAGGTACCACACAAACCCTGCACAATCCCAGCCACATCACCCCATGTGTGCCTACTGGAAAACAGGAACCTATTGCTGTGTAACCAAAAGGATATGACCCTGAAACCTTTTTTCTTTTAATAAATTAAACAATTCTTTCTTACTATTTTCATAAGTTGAAAAAAAAAAAAAAAAAAAAATTTAAACTACAAAATCACTATTTTTAATTTAAAAAACAAAAAACTCAAATAAATAAAGACAACACAAACATCAAAACTACGGTTATTAATAATAACATAATTTTTAATAATCTCACCAGCTTCAAGGCTGTCAGGATTCGTTGGCCAACTTCTTCTTCTGTTACAAACCCATTGTTCACATGATCTAGCAGTATCTACAACAGAAGGAGATCATTACTCAATCGTGTACATCAGCAAACAAGGATATACAGAGCGCATTCAATACAAAAGACTACAATGTAATCAAGAAAAAAGACAGATGAACAGTATATTTTCTGAAATGGAAATAAACATAAAAAAACAACAAAAGATCATGGAGAAAATAAATGTTTAAGAAAACCGATGAACATTACGTATGATGAATGGTGAAGAAAAAAGAGAAATATCTGGAGAACTGAGCGTATCACATTTACAAGATAAAGAAGATGGTGATATATTAGGCACATCCTGTGTAGAAGTATACAAAGAATCACCCCAAAAAAAAAAAGGAATTGAAATGGGAAACTGCTGGACAGAGGAAATGAGGATGTCAACAACAAAAAAACCTAAGATCAATGTTGATGAGAGAGACCTAAAGTGCCGGATTGGATTCCGTCTATGATCTTAAAGCTCTTGCACTGGACAGAATGGAAGGAATCAACAAACTAGTTAGTCCTTAGTGACACACTATGTAACATGATGATGATGATGTGCTTGCCTTGCTTTTTTCCTATTCTGTATAATATTTATGTTATAATATCTAAAGTTTCGTTGCCTGAGTGGATAGAGAAATAGTGGCTACAGCAGGATATAACAGCAATATCAAATGTAAGAAACGAGCTACACTGAGACACCGCAGAGAAACAACAAACACAAACTTGGTTTTAAAAAGTAAAGCAAAGAAGCCTTTACTTGCCAGTGATGCATCAGGCACAAAGGGCTTGACATTTATTTTTATAGACCAATCAGCCAGCGCCCCACTGATATTGTGGTCAACACCACCCAAGTTGCCTACATCTCTATGCTACATAAAAAACAAAGATACACAAAATCTATTTCCATTGTTTATTCCTTTTTTTTAATGGCTCCCTTTTATCTCTATTTCTTTAGTACATCATTTATATCTGGATATACTTTATTTTATGGTATTCATCTTTCCATCTTTCCATATTCACTCAAGGAAACTCAAGGTTAACTATAAAAAGACGTCTACACAGTCTTTACCAAAAGCCATCAAGTAGCAAGGAAGAATATTAACCTAATGTTAGACAAGCACCAAGTGATGAAAGAAGAGCATCCTACATATCTTGGAGTCACACTTGACCGGCAGCTGAGCCTTAAGAATCATACTGAAAACATAAGGAATGAGGCATTGAAGCGGCTGCAGTTATTGAAGCGACTTGCAGGTACATCTTGGGGATCAGACAAGGAAACTCTGAGGGGCTTGTATCTCGGATATGTTCACTTTGTGATAGAGTATAACAACTCACTGCTTGCAACCAGCTCCAAGACAAACCTAGAGTCTCTTGACAGAGTAAAAAATAATGGCAAAATATTGTCATCTTCACCAATTCAATGTCTGCTCTTCAAGCTCTGGAGGACAGTGAACGCTGCAGAACTGACACAGCTAAGATATTTCTAGATGCTGATCAGCTCATTACCTCATACAACATCAGAATAGGGATGCAGTGGATTCCAGGCCACTCTGGCACACCAGATAATGACAGAGCTGACAGACTGGCAAAGAAAGAAGCAACACAAGAACAACCACCTACAGCAACAACCCTAGAGACAGCAAAAACACTTATAAAAGCTTTAAACAAAGAGACTTGGCTGAACAGATGGGCTATGGGAGATACTGGAAGAGAGGTTTATAGACACATGGCTAGCCCTGATCCTAATGACAGCATAACCCATTTAACAAGAAGGGACCAGGCCACCATCTTCAGACTCAGAACACAAATACTCCACTCAGTGGACATCTAAACAGAATACAGCCACAACACTCCCCAGAGTGCCAGCTATGTAACTACCCCTACGAAACTGCTGACCATCATCTCTTTGAGTCCCCAAAACTCAACAAGACTAGAAGAATGCTACTCCCTCCGAGACCAGGCAGGTGGAACACCTTGTACGCAGGAAAAGAACAGCTTGTGAAAACTTGTAAATTCCACTACATGGCATTGGGCCAGAGGGCGAAAGCTCATGCGCTGCTGGATCAATAACAACAACAACCATATTCACTCAAATTTTTTGGCTAGCATGCACTATAATTAAACATGGAAGCTGTATGACCATCTCCAGATTCAACGGGATGTGATTTTTGCTTTAAATTAATGGAAAACAAATAAAACAGATTCTTTGTTTCTGCAAGAAAATTCATAAAATAAAATGTTAGCAGTGTTCAGAAAATAATAATTATTCTGTTTTGTAAAATTTTATCACTGAAGCTAATACAGTGCAGGCCACTTAAGGCAATCTCTGATGTGGCGAATTTCTGTTGTGAAGAACCATTTGTTTATACTTGGCAATTTGTCTTCTCTGTCTTTGTAAAAAATGTCTGTTATAGTGAAATCAGTTTATCACAAATTTTCGGACATGCCAAACAAGTATTCACGTCCCGACTTAATAAATCTATCTGCTTAAGGCAAACATTTTTAAAATATCTGGATATTTTTGCAACTTTCGGCTATTTTCAGTGTTGTAATTTAAGTTATTTCCCCTTTGGAAAAAAACCACTGAAAACCATTCTACAGTCAAGACCACTGTGTGTGACCGAACAGGCACAAAACACAATAGATCAAAAGGAGACAAGCTCGATATAAAAAAAAAAATCTAAGCCTAAGGTGGACCTACATGCTGAATAACTGTGGTATATGCAATGACAAGCATGGAGTGTCAGTTTGCAAAAGGGTTGGCGCTAGGCATATGGACTCCTTCAGGACATGAACAACAGAGTGTGTGCTCTCTGCTTGATACTATCTTCAACAGGCGGTGGAGACAGTGGGGGGGGAGAGGCATGGACATGGAGACAGTGGGAGGAGGAGACAAGGAAATGAAGACAGTAAAAGGAGTAGACAAGGAAATAGAGATAGTGGGAAGAGAAGACAAGGAAATAGAAACAGTGGGAAGAGGAGACGAGGAAATGGAGACAGCGGGAAGACGAGATGAGGAAGTGGAGACAGTGGGAAGAGGAGATGAGGAAATGGAGACAGTGGGAAGAGGAGATGAGAAAATGGAGACAGTGGAAAGAGAAGACAAGGAAATGGAGACAATGGGAAGAGAAGACGAGGAGATGGAGACAATGGGAAGAGAAGACGAGGAGATGGAGACAGTGGGAGAAGCAGACGAGGAAATGGAGACAGTAGGAGGAGGAGACGAGGAAATGGAGACAGTAGGAGGAGGAGACGAGGAAATGGAGACAGTAGGAGGAGGAGATGGAAATAGGAGACAGTGGGAGGAGGAGAGGAGGAAATGGAGACAGTGTGAGGAGGAGACGAGGAAATGAAGACAGTTGGAGGAGGAGACGAGGAAATGGAGATAGTGGAAAGAGAAGACAAGGAAATGGAAACAGTGGGAAGAGGAGACGAAGAAATGGAGACAGTGGGAAGAGGAGATGAGGAAATGGAAACAGTGGGAAGAGGAGATGTGGAAATGGAGACAGTGGGAAGAGGAGATGAGGAAATGGAGACAGTGGGAAGAAGAGATGAGGAAATGGAGACAGTGGGAAAAAGAGATGAGGAAATGGAGACAGTGGGAAGAGGAGACAAGGAAATAGAGACAGTGGAAATAAAAGACAAGGAAATGGAGTCAGTGGGAAGAAGAGATGAGGAAATGGAGACAGTGGAAATAGAAGACAAGGAAATGGAGACAGTGGGAAGAAGAGATGAGGAAATGGAGACAGTGGGAAGAGAAGACAAGGAAATGGAGACAGTGGGAAGAGAAGATGAGGAAATGGAGACAGAGGGAAGAGGAGACGAGAAAATGGAGACAGTGGGAAGAGGAGACGAGGAAATGGAGACATTGGAAAGAGAAGACAAGGAAATGGAGACAGTGAGCTCTTATTTCCTTAAGAGGAATTTCTGATAAAAAGAACTTTTTCTTGGGTCCATAGTAAGTTCACCTTATCAGGTCTACATTGCAATTATTAACAAATTTTCTTGCAAATAGCATTCAATAATAAAAATAATACCTTCTTCATGGATGGATCATTATACTTCAAAGGTATCCGTGACCTTTCAGCATAGCTGACTGACTTAAGGTGATCATATACGACAGGGTTTCCCTCAGCAAGTTCCATTAGGGGCACACAAACAGGTGGGTACCAAGGCAAAGGGTGCTCGCCTTCTGGTTCCAAGCCTTGGGCTTCTGTCAGTAGCTCTCTCACCCTGTCAAACACAAAAACCGCAGGGTATGACCACAATGTTCATCATCATCAAGTGCCTTGCTGAATGGCATGGGCAATCATGCATATTATTTTATGACACCCAACAACATTTATCATCACTCACTTTGAGACCTTCACAATAATGAAAGATCATCGCTTGACATCTTCCACAATCTCTCTCTTTATCATTTTTTCCAGCTATCAGATGTTCCAATATGTGATGTGATATTTGTTATAAGTTGTGCACATATCTTAGTCTCTTTCAATACACTGAGACCACAACATTATATAGTTATTGAATAAGAGTCACACGATTCTTTCAGGTAAACTAGCGTCAGAAACTATGTGGCTTCATCAAACAGTATCTATTAACAATGAAGAATTCTGCTGTTAACTTGTCACTATAGTAATTTTGTTCTTTATTTTACACTTAATATTAGCTTTGTTGGTTACTAAATGAATTATTAAAGTCATCTTCTTATTTAAAACCAAAGTTTCACAGCCATCAGGGAATTATAACACATTTAAAAGTGTTTAAATGGGCGACGATTGATTTCACTGCACCAGGTTTTATTTCATAAGGTTTGGTCTTTCTCCACAAAATAGCTGTCAGCTCCTGGATAGTACTGCTTAAAACAGGACAATCTGTAACTCTAGACATTACCAACATGTGTCTCAGAAACTCAGCACTCACAAACAGAAACACAGCATTCACAAACAGAAACACAGCACTCACAAACAGAAACACAGTACTCACAAACAGAAACACAGCACTCACAAACAGAAACACAGCACTTACAAACAGAAACACAGCACTCACAAACAGAAAACACAGCACTCACAAACAAAAACACAGCACTCACAAACAGAAACACAGCACTCACAAACAGAAAACACAGCACTCACAAACAAAAACACAGCACTCACAAACAGAAACACAGCACTCACAAACAGAAGACAGATTTTTTTTTAAAATGCTGCATAACTTGCACAATATGGGGCAAACAGCTTAACTACTTTTGCATAGATTCTCCAACCCCATAATGGTGTGAGCCCATCTTCACAAGGGAGATAGTGTCTGTATTTGTTGAGAAAAATGCTGGATGGTCTGAGACTAATAGGGAAACATCTTCAGAACTATAGCCAGAATACCTGGGTCTGATCTATGCAGAGACATGAATGTCTTCACCATTTGGGAAGGCACATGATGATGTTGATATATGCCTTCATAATCTGTTTCAATCACCGCTAACTACTGGCATCATGATGGCTAACAGACTGCAACAGTTGAGGTATACAGAGACTACGGCAGATAGAGAGACACAAATGTTAATGGGAATGTGAATGGGAATAGACCATGAGGCAGACTAAGAAAATTGTGGAGAGGAAATACATAGAGAGACCTACAACACTTGAAGTTTTCAACTGGAAAGAGAAGGCCAATCACAACTGGACAGAGAAGGCCAATCACAATTGGAAAGAGAAGGCCAATCACAACTGGAAAGAGAAGGCCAATCACAACTGGAAAAAGAAAGCCAATCCCAACTGGAAAGAGAAGGCCAATCCCGACTGGAAAGAGAAGGCCAATACCAACTGGAAGGAGAAGGCCAAACAACTGGAAAGAGAAGGCCAATCACAAATTTAAAGAGAAGGCCAATCACAACTGGAAAGAGAGGGCCAATCACAACTGGAAGAAGAGGGCTAATCACAACTGGAAGGAGATGGCCAATCTCAGCAATAAATGGTGGTGGGTGATATCTGCAGCAGTGAACCTTACCGGTTTAGAATGCTGAAGGAGACAAAGCAAACAGATTTATATGTGAGTTCCATCACTTCAGAAACATGACAGAGTGCTGAGATGAATGAAGGTAAAGGTAAAGCTAAGAAGCTGGGGGCTACCTGGGAAATATGGAGATATCTGATTCATGTAATTCAAGGTGCACAGAAAAGTTGAAGACATTACAAATACTATTAGCATCTGATCAACTTACTCAAATCCTTTGTTTTCAGGAGACAGGTAGACAGCAGTAAGGTTGCGGGAGTCTGGAACCTTTTTAACATACGTGTCACACTCATCTTTCGTTGGCCAATTGGGGGGCATGTTTGGGTCACTCTCTGTGTTCTAATAGACAAGTATTCAGTGAATATACAATGATTCATATTACTTAATTTTTAGTTCACTTCTCAGTCCAAACACACATAATTTAACATACAAGTCCCAATACTTTTTCACTGACTAGCTGGGCAGCATGTTTGGGTCACCCACTGTGTTTTAGACTTCTCATAGACTCTTTCTTTGCATTCATTGGCTGTAAACTCCAGCAGAAAGTTCTGGTTATTTGTCCATTTCTTGACTTTAGTCTTGTTCCAGAACTTGAGTTTTGCATGCACATCCATTTTACAGAGCTGACTTATTTGTACAGACTGTCGTTCCTTGTCTCAGGCAGATGCGCTCCCAACTCAAAGGATGTCCCTACTTAGTTGACGGTTATGACATGCTTGTTGTGGGAGGTAATGTGTCTATTCTTTTGTTTTCCCCCACAAAGAGGCTTCAGAAACCACATGGGGAGTTTTGACAGACAAGAAAATAGTACGCAAACCTCATATTACTCTATGTTTGTTATACATCTTAGTCCAAACACAGATAACTGAACTGAACTGAATTTCTACCCCACCAGGACATCACACAAGCGATAAACACCTGATGACACAAAGTGCCACCATGTGGATGAGGATCGCCGTGGAGAGGTTCCAGAAACCGCGTTCAGACATTTGGCCATATATGGCCTGCCTATATTGCGGCCCCTGGCAAAAGAGTAGGGCTTCAAATTACAAAAAATTTCGTATAACTTAATGATCATCTTACCTTGGCCAGCACGTTTGGCTCGGTTTCTGTGTTCATAAATACAATTTCATAAAGTTATAAATATTATATATTAACGAGATCTCATCAACACATTAGAATACCAGTTTCTCTGTTGAAATGTCCAGATTAAACATAAATGTTCTCACAGTGTAAACATGAGTCAAAGGCTCCACACAAAAATACAAACAGGAAAATATCCCATAGTATATCTATATTACAAGGGGAAGTCAATAAGTAAGTCACAAATGGTTATGGGATGGCAAGAAAATGTAGTTGATGGTTTCTAAAGGTGTCTTTTGGTGACAGCCATATCAAACTTTATATTTCCATTCGTTAAGTGGCGCCAGGTGTTGCATGCGCATTCACATCACAGAAACAAAATGGCGACTGTACTTAAGGAGTGTACCTCCAAGAACAATGTGCTGTTGTGAATTTTGTGGTGGGTGGAGTGCTGCCTGCAAAGGACATTCATAAGGAAATGCTTCCTCTTCATGCTGACAAATGTTTATCTCGTAAAGCAATACAAAGCTAAGTAAACAAATTTCTCAAGGACGCTCTAAAATTGTTGACGAAGTCATATCTGATCGTCCTGGTGAGATTGCAACAGTGCAGCAGGTGGAGGAGATGATCAGAGGTGTTAAGTGAGTAATGTTTGACTCTGTAGCAGCTGCACTAGAGTGCTCACATGGTTCAGCATACAACATAATGAAAGATAGATTGAAATTTGAGAAAGTGTGCTCAAGGTGGGTTCCCAAACAATTTATAGACGAACACAAAATGATACGACTAGGCCTGTTCTCGCAGCGTCTCTGTTGATATGCAGATGAAGGAGGACATGCTGAACAGGATTATTACTGGGGACGAATTATGGATGCATCACTACCAACCTGAATCAAAGCGTGCTTCAATGCAATGGAAATATCCTTCTTGGCCTTGTGTTCAAAAATTCAAGGTTACCCCAACAGCAGGAAAGGTTATGCTGACAGTGTTCTGGGACTGTCAATGAATGCTTTTAACCAATTATAAAAAAAAAAAAAACCAGGTGACAAGGTAAATGTTTTATACTGTACTGCATCTATTGATGCTTCATGATGCAATTCGAAGACCAGGCCTGCTCACTAGAGGAGTACTGCCCCTTTCATGACAATGCCAGACCATATACGGCTCAGTTAACTCAGGAGAAAATAATACCATCTAGGGTGGGAACTTCTGAAACATCCACCTTACAGCCCTGACTTAACTTGAATGACACAAACGTTATATGTCAAGTGAAAATATGATTTAAAAAACAGAGCACGCAGTTCTATGCAGCAGGTTTGCAAGGACTGTTAAATCAATGGGACAAGTGCATCAATGTTGGTGGAAATTATGTTGAAAAATAAAGGGACAGTGTATGTGTAAAAATAACTGGTTTTCAAGTTGTTTTCATATTTATTTTTTTTTGTTTAGAACAACTATTTGTCACTTACTAATTTACTTCCCCTAGTATTTACGGAAGAAAAGAACAAATGCATCCATACTTCAAGAGCTGAATATTGAAGAGGGTTGGCTAGTAAAGACAATAAAACAAAGAAAATTGAAATATTTTGGTCACTTGAAACGTCATGGAAGTCTAGAGAGAACAATAATGGAGGGGTATATGCCTGGGAAGAGAGGAAGAGGCCAAGGAGAAGATGGGTGCAGGATGTGGCAGATGATCTCCAGATGGGTGTATCAGACGCAGGACATCTTGCTCAGGATAGGAAGGTTTTCCGGAGGGTTGTTATGGCAGCGAGGTTCCGCGAGGGACATGCTACTGAATGAATGAATGAGTATTTACGGAGTCCCTTCTAAATCATTTATCAAAATAAACAGTACTGAAACAAAATCACTTTGTAAAGGTCGACACAGGGAGAAAATGTCTAATGGGCCGACAGTGACAATTTCAATTGCTGCATAATTCTTGTTATTCAAAACGTGCAGAAAATGTTACCTTTTTTTTTCTGCACCCTTATCCAAAATGGTTAGGCAGCTGACCTACTTAACCCAGCTAAGGAAGTAGAACTTTTATGAACCCTGCTGTCAGGCTAGTGCCTGTTTTGAACCATCACAGGTTTTGTGGAATCATGGGTTTTGGTAGCCACTGTATGCCTATATAACAATGACGGTACTAGTTGTGAAGCATAGTGTTTTTAGATGAGCTGGATATGATAGCATTAAGGGATTTTTGTGTGTAATTAAAATATTCCCATTTTAATCACTGTTATGTCACATTAATGACCTTTTGTGTCAGTTGACTGTGTCAACACTGTGACCAAAGGAACTGAATGCAGTTAATTTTCAGCTCCATTTGTGTTGACGATTACTTTTCTTCATAAAATGCTCTCTCCCCCCCCCTCTCTCTCTCTCTCTCTCTCTCTCTCTCTCTCTCTCTCTCTCTCTCTATAATATATATATATATATATATATATATATATATATATATATATATATATATATATATATATATATATATATATATATATACTCTCGCCCCCTCTCTCTCCTCTCTCTCTCTCTCTCTCTCTATATATATATATATATATATATATATATATATATATATATATATATATATAATATATATATATATATATATATATATATATATATATATATATATATATATATATATATTAAAAAAAACAAATGTCTAAAAAATATTTTTGTGAAAAGGTCAATGTGTAAGATTTTACGGGTTGAAAGGGTTACATGGTTTATTTTAAAAAGCTCACACTAAGATTTAAACCGAACCTCAAGTATGAGACAAAGTACATATGTCCTAGTTACAACCACACAGCTGAGATAACAGAAAATAATAACAATAAAAACAGTGATGCCTAAAATAGCATACAGGCAAAGAAAGAAACAATAGTAGAAACAAAACCTTCGAGATAACAGAAACAAAGAAAACATTAATGCCTAAAACAACAGGGAAACAAGGTAAGAAACAGAAGTGGAAAAAGAACCCTAGAGATAGCCGAAACAAAGAAATCAGTAATGCCTAAAATAACACGGAGGCAAGGTAAGAAACAAAAGTGAAAACAGGACAATAGAGTTAGCCGAAACGAAGAAAACAATAATGCATAAAATAACATGGAGGCAAAGTAAGAAACAGAAGTGGAGAAAAAAAAACTGTAGAGATAGCCGAAACAAAGAAAACAATGGCAATACAAATGGGACTGTTGAAAGTAGCACTCACAGAAAGAAATACATTCACACTATGCACCCCATCCACAAACATGAAGTGCTTGCCTTATGTTTCTTGTATTTAGAATACATGGGTGCTCTCACTGGCTGGCTATAATTTGTGCTTTTTAGGCTGGACTTGAGACCCATCATCACCTTTTCTGATTCCTTCTGCAAAAATGTGTATGAAAAGTGTCATTATAACAAATGTGATTCAAAAGCAGTCAAGATGTAAGACACTGTACCTTATATTCTACACAGTTAATTTTAAAAACCTTACATGGCTTTGCCTAACAAATAAAAAAAGTGTCAGTGATTCGGTCTGTTCTAATTGTTCAAACAGTGCTTCACAAATTTAAGATTCAGCTCTATAGTTTTTCTTGAGCTCAGGCAGGCAATTTTAAATTCTGTCTCAACTTTTAAACTTAGAGCTGGCTATCTAGTAATTAAAACTGTCTATTTCTGTCTCGTCTCTAACTTAGATGTGCCTACCAAAAACCCAATATTACAGATCGCTGTGAGGAACAGTAGGCTCAGCTACAACTGCAAAGGTTATAGGTTACTGATTTTGAGATTTCTAGACTTCACATGGTGCCTCACAGCTTTCTCAGAAACAATGTTCAGCAGTCATAAACGAATCAATTTTGCATGGGCACAAGTGCACCAAGACATTCCAAAATATGCTTCCGACTTAATCCTCTTCTTCAACAGCCAAAAATCACAATCCATGCCAAGACTGGCAGTACTTGTCTGATAAGCTAGGTTAACCTCTATAATGTATATTTTTTAAATTATAAACATAACATGCATTATTGATAACAGACATTGGAACTCTGAAAGATGAGTGCTTAAAAGGGCCGAATGTCAGACGGGACTGCGAGCCCAATTTGTAACCCTTTGAAAATAAAGTTTGTCGTTCGTTCTAGTCCTATATTAATATAAACAAATCTAACAAGACACTCTGCTGTGATGGCAAGATAAGATATTTTTCACCACAAACACTGTGAAACCAAGTGATACATTCAATAATTACTCACCAAAGAACAGTTAATTCAGCTATCTATTTTAAGTATATAAAAACAATACTCGCCTCATCGCCGCTTTTTTCTGAATTTTCCTCCAGAAATGCAAAATCAAAATCCAGTGTAGGTGACCTCCGACTCCAGGTACACAGGAGCACCTGTTTCCCATCCCGGTCTACCATCCTACAGTATTCATCTGAAAATACCACACTTGACATCCACAAAAACTAACTTCTGTGACAAATCTACTTCCTACCTACTCGCAGATTTAACAAATGCTGATTTGGTAGACTTTCTAGTAAAGATTATACATCTCCAAAAAAACATGGACTCTCTGTCAATTAGGATGAAAATAACAGTTGCTTTTAAAATTACTGCACAGTGACTGATTTAGACATAAAACACAAAAATAAATAATCTTTTAAATCTGTAAAGATGTAATGAGGAAACAGACAACTACTAAATAAAAAAAAAATTAAAAAAAAAAAAAAAAAAACATTTTCACAAAAAGAAACAAAGAGGTCTACCATTATTTACTAATGGGCAAAATCTACTGGGGGTGTTTGGGGGGGGGGGGGGGGGGTGTTGTTAAGAAGGAGACAATGATGTCCAAGAACTACATCTCAAAAACATGCAAGAACACTGGGGCTCAGTCCCACACAGTGCTAAATAGAAGTGACAACAGGGGATTGATCAAGCAGATTTAACATGTTTTAGAAGTGACTAACCTGATGACGATAATTTTACACAATGGATTAAACATTCTGCATTGGAAATGCTTTAAAAGATTAGAGAGTAACCCGTGGGAATTTTTTTTTTAAATCGTTTAAAAGAGGCAAAATTTTACAGGTCACCAATTACTTTTTATATACCTAAACTTAAAAAAAAATAAAATTTTTGAAATATACTGGTGTTATCAATAAACATGTATGGAATGAAGCATTTAATGTAACACAGTCCATAGGGTTAAAACATCTACCTGGTGACTCACTGTGACCCTCTGACATCTATCGGAATTCTAACACTGAAGCTACTGACAATTTATGACAAAGAAAAACCCTTCACAAAGAAACTCCTCAAATATTTTTTTCCCCAGTAAATATAATCATATCTGAGCCTCCTAAACACTGTAGAGGTGCAAACAGAACAAACGATGTTAAATTAGACTTTTCTAGATAATCATATCTGAGCTTCCTAAACACTGTAGACGTGCAAACATAACAAATGATGTTAAATTAGACTTTTCTAGATAATCATATCTGGGCCTCCTAAACACTGTAGAGGTGCAAACATAACAAATGATGTTAAATTAGACTTTTCTAGATAATCATATCTGGGCCTCCTAAACACTGTAGAGGTGCAAACAGAACAAACGATGTTAAATAAGGCTTTTCTAGATAATCATATCTGGACCTCCTAAACACTGTAGAGGTGAAAACAGAACAAACGATGTTAAATAAGGCTTTTCTAGATAATCATATCTGGGCCTCCTAAACACTGTAGAGGTGCAAACAGAACAAACGATGTTAAATAAGACTTTTCTAGATAATCATATCTGGGCCTCCTAAACACTGTAGAGGTGCAAACAGAACAAACGATGTTAAATAAGACTTTTCTAGATAATCATATCTGGGCCTCCTAAACACCGTAGAGGTGCAAACAGAACAAACGATGTTAAATAAGACTTTTCTAGATAATCATATCTGAGCTTCCTAAACACTGCACAGGTGCAAACAGAACCAATGCTGTTAAACTAGACTTCTCTAGATCAGGTGTCGGTAGAAATTCCTCTGCAAGCAGCATTTATGAGTATGTGGTACTGACAGATATGCAGGTTCACATCTTCTAAGGGTGAAAGGGTTGAACAGCATAATGAGTAGACAATTATTATTATCAGATCTTTTATGAAATAAACAACATACACTTTAAAGCTGTGTCTGCTTGTGAACTGGTGATATGGTCCTAGCTCCATATGTTTATCAAAAAATGGCAGTGAATTTGTGATTTGGCTAATATGATGATACATGCCGTAAATTCTACACAATCTCGGTACAAATACTTAGACAGGGTCAGAAAATGAACTATGGAGTCATGACTAATTCCCCACAGTGCAAGATTTGAAACTCGGATTACTGGACTGGTAAGTACACTAGCTACAGAGGTTCCATTTACACTATTTTTCAACTTAAAAAAAAAAAAAAAAAAAAACGGGAGCGGGTGGGCATTTTGTGTGTTCAACAGCATGAGTAATGCAAACCTATAAGCATAACATAAAGCATTAAAACTTCAACATACAGATTTAGACTGAAAACTGATTAAAACAAACAAAAGGAATGACAAACATAAAAAATATTATTTATCATTATTTATGTGTAAATCTAGTAATTACATTTTTAAGTGGAATAAACACATAAATATGAGGTTTTTCTCAATACAAATTGTAGACTGAAAGTCCTTGCCACCAAAGCACATAAAAAAAACAAAAGCATGGTAGTAGAAAAGACTGAATATATCACAAAGCCACTGACAGTAAACTAATAATCTGAAATAAAAAAACAATAGTAAACATGGTTTATTTCTTTATATTTTCAAATGGAAGGAGAGAAAACAATCACCTCTGGAAAGAAAACTGAAAACCCAACACCAAAATGTGGCAACAAATGAGTGGAAAAAAACAAACTTGTAAGGCACCCTCATTTTCTGAAGCTGTACAAATGTTATATATTACAGGGTGCACGTGACATGTTCACACTGTTGGCTTTCTCAAACATTTCTGTGTGATTCTACAAGAAATATTAGCTCGACTACCCCAACACTGAAAATGTGAAATCATTTCATCACAGTTGACTCTATGTTGCTGCCCTCATGCAATTATTATTTCTACAATTGCTGTGTGGTTCTGTGGATCTAAGGTTATTAAAATAGCTTTACAGTCTAATCTTTCGTGGATTTTTAGCGCTTTTTGGGGCGTCGCAGGTCGACACAGCCTCAAATGGGTACCAGGATGGGCTGTCCTGGGAAAGTAAAGATGGCCGGCCTAATGCTGACCACATTACCCACCGAGTGCCGAGTGGTCTGTAAAAATATGGGTGCTCTTCCCATATGCCCGATGCACCTAAGGGCGTGTAAAGGGATCTTTACTTTTTACTTTTACAGTCTAATCCAGGGTGATTAAGAGCAAGTTTAAGGGAAGAAACTGGGGCCTCATCATACAATCTAGAAAGTGGAAGCACTGCAGCCAACTTCCATTGGGGGGACAGCAGAAAATGTATTTACAACTGCTGTTGAAGTAGTACCGCAATGTGTGTAGCAAGCAGAGTTCTTCAAACAAGCCATCTTGAGTTCAAACTTCAATGACTTTAATTTTAACTAAATGCTTATAAACTAAATGCTTACATCATTATCATGTACCCTGCCAACTGGCGTAGGCGCTCATGCATCTCCACAAATAAATGCTTACATCATCATCATCATGTGCCCTGCCAACTGGCGTAGGCGCTCATGCATCTCCACAGATGAATGCTTACAGTGCAACACAAACAGATAAACTGGCTGCACTATCCTGAAAGTGCTAATTTCATCAACTGTAAGTTACAGGCAGGTTTTACTCTGATCATCTGAAGACTGGTGAGAAACTTAGTCAAGTCACATGGAAACCACTGCCTACACGGCGTAGCTTACCCATTTCAGCAGACTTTTCCCTCATTTTCAGCTGCTCGTAGGCAAGATGCTGGGCTATCTTCACCTCATGTGGCACCTGCTCGGCTAGCAGCTTGTCACTTTGCATCTGGTAGAGGTCATGCTTGCGCTGGTAGTCTTTCAGGTCCTTTAGTGTTCTCTGGAGAGACCTGAAAACATTCACCAGCAGTTGCACTATAAGATTGAATGGTTTACCGTCATCATCACGTCTTTGTCCATACAAAGCATACAAATATGGCTGAAGTTAGATATAAAGTAGATATTTAAGAATACAAATTGTAAAGTACCTTGTTCATGCCATTGTCAAATTGATACCATTGTGCTAAACTCACTTGTTTAGACCAGATGGTACTTAACGCCAGCTGCCTTTACTGCCAGAACATTTCTTGGTATCTACTGTTGGCTTTTAAATCAGGTCAAATTTTTAACAAATCCTGCCCTGATAAGAATATGAACATATGCATGCTGGCTACTGCACCACCACAGTTTGGCAACCATTGTTTCCTCAGCAATTATTTGTAAGGTCATTTTTGGTATTGTTAACATCAGGTTGTTTTTCTTTAGAATCCCTTGGTTTCATGCAACATGTTCTATAGGCACTCATTTAAACTCTTATCTGCTCCCAGTAAAACTGTATTATTTAAAATCAAAATATGTTTGTTGTTGCATTAGCTGAAAAAACATTTTTATTTTACAACTAATCATGTAGAGAGCAATAGATTTAGAAGTAACACATGTCTGATTTCAATTGGTGGCATATTTTCCAAATAGTACACACTCAGACTGCTTTAGTTTCATGAACGAGATATATGTCTGTCTGTCTGGGCCAGTACTGGCCAGTATAGGTGGCCAATAATTAGCCACATTATCTTTCTGGACTAGTACAGGTGGCCAATAATTAGCCACATTATCTTTCTGGGCCAGTACAGGTGGCCAGTAATTAGCTACATTATCTGTATGGGCCAGTAACTAGCTACATTATCTGTCTGGACCAGTACAGGTGGCCAGTAACTAGATACATTATCTGTCTGGGCCAGTACAGGTGGCCAGTAATTAGCTACATTATCTGTCTGGCCAGTAACTAGCTACATTATCTGTCTAGACCAGTACAGGTGGCCAGTAACTAGCCACATTATCTGTCTGGGCCAGTACAGGTGGCCAGTAACTAGCCACATTATCTGTCTGGGCCAGTACAGGTGGCCAGTAATTAGCTACATTATCTGTCTGGGCCAGTAACTAGCCACATTATCTGTCTGGGCCAGTAACTAGCCACATTATCTCTCTGGGCCAGTAACTAGCTACATTATCTGTCTGGGCCAGTAACTAGCTACATTATCTGTCTGGGCCAGTACAGGTGGCCAGTAATTAGCTACATTATCTGTCTGGGCCAGTAACTAGCTACATTATCTGTCTGGGCCAGTAACTAGCCACATTATCTGTCTGGGCCAGTAACTAGCCACATTATCTGTCTGGGCCAGTACAGGTGGCTAGTAATTAGCTACATTATCTGTCTGGGCCAGTAACTAGCTACATTATCTGTCTGGGCCAGTAACTAGCTACATTATCTGTCTGGGCCAGTACAGGTGGCCAGTAACTAGCCACATTATCTGTCTGGGCCAGTAACTAGCTACATTATCTGTCTGGGCCAGTAAATAGCCACATTATCTGTCTGGGCCAGTAACTAGCCACATTATCTGTCTGGGCCAGTAACTAGCTACATTATCTGTCTGGGCCAGTACAGGTGGCCAGTAACTAGCCACATTATCTGTCTGGGCCAGTACAGGTGGCCAGTAACTAGCCACATTATCTGTCTGGGCCAGTACAGGTGGCCAGTAACTAGCTACATTATCTGTCTGGGCCAGTACAGGTGGCCAGTAACTAGCCACATTATCTGTCTGGGCCAGTACAGGTGGCCAGTAACTAGCCACATTATCTGTCTGGGCCAGTAGCCACATTAGGTGGCAGTACAGTAATTAGCTACATTATCTGTCTGGGCCAGTACAGGGCCAGTAACTAGCTACATTATCTGTCTGGGCCAGTAACTAGCCAGTAACTAGCCACATTATCTGTCTGGGCCAGTAACTAGCTACATTATCTGTCTGGGCCAGTAACTAGCTACATTATCTGTCTGGGCCAGTAGCCACATTATAGGTGGGCCAGTAACTAGCCACATTATCTGTCTGGGCCAGTAACTAACATTAGTCTGGGCCAGTAACTACACATTATTACGTAGCCACATTATCTGTAGTATGGGCCAGTAACTAGCCACATTATCTGTCTGGGCCAGTAAGGTGGCCGTAACTAGCTACATTATCTGTCTGGGCCAGTACAGGTGGCCAGTAACTAGCCACATTATCTGTCTGGGCCAGTATTAGGTGGCCAGTAACTAGCCACATTATCTGTCTGGCCGCATAGCCACATTATCTGTCTGGGCCAGTACACTAGCCACATTATCAGTACAGGTGGCCAGTAACTAGCTACATTATCTGTCTGGGCCAGTACAGGTGGCCAGTAACTAGCCACATTATCTGTCTGGGCCAGTAACTAGCCACATTATCTGTCTGGGCCAGTACAGGTGGCCAGTAACTAGCCACATTATCTGTCTGGGCCAGTACAGGTGGCCAGTAACTAGCTACATTATCTGTCTGGGCCAGTACAGGTGGCCAGTAGCTACATTAGTCTGGGCCAGTAACTAGCCACATTATCTGTCTGGGCCAGTAACTAGCCACATTATCTGTCTGGGCCAGTACAGGTGGCCAGTAACCAGCCACATTATCTGTCTGGGCCAGTACAGGTGGCCAGTAACTAGCTACATTATCTGTCTGGGCCAGTAACTAGCCACATCTATCTGGGCCAGTACAGGTGGCCAGTAACTAGCCACATTATCTGTCTGGGCCAGTAACTAGCCACATTATCTGTCTGGGCCAGTAACTAGCTACATTATCTGTCTGGGCCAGTAACTAGCTACATTATCTGTCTGGGCCAGTACAGGTGGCCAGTAACTAGCCACATTATCTGTCTGGGCCAGTAACTAGCCACATTATCTGTCTGTACAGGTGGCCAGTAACTAGTAATTATCTACATTATCTGTCAGGTGGGCTAAATTATCTGTCTAGGCCAGTACAGGGGCAGTAACTAGCCACATTATCTGTCTGGGCCAGTAACTAGCCACATTATCTGTCTGGGCCCAGTGCCAGTAACTAGCTACATTATCTGTCTGGGCCAGTACAGGTGGCCAGTAACTAGCCACATTATCTGTCTGGGCCAGTACAGGTGGCCAGTAACTAGCTACATTATCTGTCTGGGCCAGTACAGGTGGCCAGTAACTAGCCACATTATCTGTCTGGGCCAGTAACTAGCCACATTATCTGTCTGGAGCCACAGTACAGTCTGGCCAGTAACTAGCCACATTATCTGTCTGGGCCAGTACAGGTGGCCAGTAACTAGCCACATTATCTGTCTGGGCCAGTAACTAGCCACATTATCTGTCTGGGAGAGTAACTAGCCACATTATCTGTCTGGGCCAGTAATTAGCTACATTATCTGTCTGGGCCAGTAACTAGCCACATTATCTGTCTGGGCCAGTAACAGGTGGCCCACATTATCTGTCTGGGCCAGTACAGGTGGCCAGTAACTAGCTACATTATCTGTTGGGCCAGTCAGGTGGCCAGCTACATTATCTGTCTGGGCCAGTAACTAGCTACATTATCTGTCTGGGCCAGTAAGGTGGCCTAACCAGCCACATTATCTGTCTGGGAGAGTAACTAGCCACATTATCTGTCTGGGCCAGTAATTAGCTACATTATCTGTCTGGGCCAGTAACTAGCCACATTATCTGTCTGGGACAGTACAGATGGCCAGTAACTAGCCACATTATCTGTCTGGGCCAGTAATTAGCTACATTATCTGTCTGGGCCAGTAACTAGCCACATTATCTACCTGGGCCAGTAATTAGCTACATTATCTGTCTGGGCCAGTAACTAGCCACATTATCTACCTGGGCCAGTAATTAGCTACATTATCTGTCTGGGCCAGTAACTAGCCACATTATCTGTCTGGGCCAGTAATTAGCTACATTATCTGTCTGGGCCAGTAACTAGCCACATTATCTATCTGGGCCAGTACAGGTGGCCAGTAACTAGCCACATTATCTGTCTGGGCCAGTACAGATGGCCAGTAACTAGCCACATTATCTGTCTGGGCCAGTACAGATGGCCAGTAACTAGCTACATTATCTGTCTGGGCCAGTACAGGTGGCCAGTAATTAGCTACATTATCTGCCTGGGCCAGTAATTAGCCACATTATCTGTCTGGGCCAGTACAGGTGGCCAGTAATTAGCTACATTATCTGTCTGGGCCAGTAATTAGCCACATTATCTGTCTAGGCCAGTAACTAGCTACATTATCTGTCTGGGCCAGTAACTAGCCACATTATCTATCTGGGCCAGTACAGGTGGCCAGTAACTAGCCACATTTTTTTATCTTGTGTAGCCTAGTTAAAAAATACGTGAGCCAAACACTAGACTTCCTTAGATGCCTTAACTGTGAAGTGTTTTAATTTTGTTTAACTTATAAAATATTTGTACATACCTAAATATGGCTAATGGATCTTAGTTGTGTCAACAATAAAAAACACATATTAAAAGACCTTTAACAGCTACTTAAATAAATATTTACAATACAAAATTTTATCAAACTGACTAAAGATCTGCTTTGTAAACAATGAAAAATATAAGCTAAAAGAACTTTACATTTTTATGTAAAATTGTGTGTAATTTTCTAAATGTGGCTAATTCAATTTAGTATTATAAACAATTAAAAACTGTCATTTCCTCAAAAATGCTTGTGAATCAATACCACAAAAATCTGTAGGTAAAGTTAAAATTATGTATTACGAAGAAAAGAAAAAAAAAGAATAATCAAGAGTTAAAAATATGAAATGCGACAAGTAATGCACACTATAACTGCCAGTCTAACAACACTGTTGGTTATGACAGTCTGGACAGAGACATGATTGTTCTTGCCTGTGTTGAGCTTCTAATGCCATCTCTAGCTTGGAGTGACAGATAACAGCGTGCTTCCGCTTGGAGGCTGCTTCAAAGTCTGGCTGAATCTTCAAGGTGTTTTCAAAGCAGATTATAGATTTGTTGTACTCACCAAGCACCTGAAAAAAACACCACATGAACAAAAACTTGAATTGTGTTTGTTCTATCATTTTGTTGTTGACATTCTTAACTCTCTGAGTATCAGTCAATTGAATTGTGTTTGTTCTATCATTTTGTTGTTGACATTCTTAACTCTCTGAGTATCAGTCAACTTATATGTTTATTGGTAACTATATATCAGCCATATTTCTAATTTTCTCCTGTAAACTTTTTCCTTTAAAAAAAATCCAAACCTGTTTCTTCTATACCATGCTTCTATTATTTTAACTTTTTATGATTCACAAATTGAAATTCTAAAGTGCAAGGTCTGTGTGACAGAATATACTGAAACAACAATTGCCAGCCAAGGAAACAGTTCCAGAAAAAAATCAGTTTTGATACTCATATCAGCAACACATATTACACTGTACAATGACTAGGACCCTATGCATTATTCTCTGGATTCATTCATTCAACATTAAGCAACTCAGAAATGCTCATCACTCCTAAACCCATGAGGGTATTGAAACACTGTGAAAACACGTAAACATATACTGAATTTTAGTGCATCAACAGTAGGAATAAAGTATATGGAAAATTCCTTTTGCTATCCTTGGTGCTCACTATGGAACATAGACACACAATCAATTCACACCAAGCCATCCCATCTCTTGCAAGTCCTGCAGCTTCAACTATGTCTTCTCCACATCATATATCTATGTTTCTAATTCTCTTCTACATATGTTCTTAGATCACTCTCTATTTCCACTATGGGTTTCAGTGAAAGAACATTCTATTATATCATCAGATTTCTCAATGTTTGTCTTTTCTTCACCTACTGATTCACTGGATTATTTGGTTATTCATATTCGAAGAAGAGGAGAAAAAAGAAGAATCAGTAATGACATCAAGAAATGGACAGGTACTAAGTTATCATACTCTTGTTCAACAAGCGGCAGACAAAGATGGCAGGTTTTCTGTGTTGGTGCTCCCATCGATACATCTCCATGTTATGTTATGGTATTATGTTGGTTATTTATTTATGTTTAACAGCAGTGATTCTTTCACATCATTTTATTCCTTATATTCTATAGAACACCACTTAATGTAGTTTATTTAGTAACTGTTTCAGTAGCTCTTTATGTATCTGATTCATAAGGCAGTACTGATATGATACCAGATAATTATTCAAGTTCAGCAACAGGTTTAATTTCGTGGTGCTATTAAAACTTCTTATGCCTTTCATAGATAATCTTATACACATATTTATGTTGCTGTCCACCTCTTTTTACGTAACCTCAACAGCTTCCTGCATCATTCCACCTCATCAACTGCCAAACATCTAAGCAAGATGCACTTGTGGCCTCAAAACATAGGCTAATGAAATCAAGTAAATAACATTCAGTTATCTTCTGAATTACGGTCCCAAATTATCAAGGCATAAAATATACCCTAACAGGGCCTCAGTCACGTGTCAATTGCGCACTTCCGGCGACTATACCACCACCGCCGAATTGCGGACTTCCGGGGACTATATCGCCACCGCCATGGCTGGGGCTCACAAGCAAATAAAATAAAGGAAGCTGCAGGAAATGCAGTAGCTGCTGCTCGTGAGTCCCAGCCATCTAGTTTAGCCCCAATCCACGCCGCATAAGCGTGGGGGATACTCTCCGCGGTGACGGAAGTGCGCAATTTAAGTCGTTGGAAGTGCACAATTGACACGTGACTGAGGTCCTGTTAGGGTATATTTTCTGCCTCGATAATTTGGGACGGTTATTCGGAAGATAGCCCAACATTCTGGTTAAATTATATGACAAGCACTACATTCGGTATCATCATCATCTTCTGTGATTTCAGTGCCTTCCAGCCAACACATCCAATTTCTGCAAAACCCTAATAAGTCACTTTTATAAACAACACTTAATGTAAATATCATCTGTCTGCCAATGCTCCTCAATGTAAATCAAACACAATGAGAACAGAAATCTTACAGCATAAATGTTGCCCAGGGTAAAATGATTCACATTCAACTCCTTAGAAACCTCCAGAGCTGCATGCACTAATATGGCTGCCTCATTGGAGTATCTGGCTCGATGCAGGATGTTGGCCAAGCTGATCAGTGCCACATCTTTCTGAAGTCTGGTTCAACAAAAATACAAATGTTGGCTGTTTCATCATCTACACATCAGGCTAACTATGAAATGGCTAAACAGCCAAACCAACAGACTGATAGGACTAGCAAGCAATGTATTCATGCTAATTTAGTGACAAGGAAGTAAACCACGTTAACTCTGAATAATTATCTTGATCTTCTAGGTTTTACTTGATTGAAGTTGCTTTGTACCCTTTGCTGAGAGTCAGAAACATATTTGCCACTGTTTCTCTCATTCTCCCTGTTTAATGCTTAATTTAGAATCAACATCACGGCACTCAGGACATTTCCATAAGCACTCCGTCCCCACCTTCAGCAGCAAGCGAACACGCACACAGTTAAATTCCAATGGTACCAGTAACAGTCTGATTGTATATTCATCTCACCTTTCCTGTAAGTGCTGATCGCTGGCCAGATCCCTGGTCACTGCACCATTCTCCTCAAACTGTTCTCCCTGTTAAATACCACTACTGTGTATCTGTAATCTATTAAAAGACTTAAGGTGTTGCTCTCCACAGCTATTCTGATTTTCTGAGAGACACAAACATACACACACTGGCCACCTAGCCCTCTACATCATGGCCTAGAACATGTGATGACTTCCAACTGCAAGTACTTGTTACAGGACTTCCTTGACCCTAGCCTTGCATCTCTTTATAACTGTCAGTAGAGACAGGTTTTTTCCTCCCTTGAAAGTTGCTTTCTGGTATTTAGACAAAGGACCTTTTTCACACCAATGGTGCAGAGGGCATGTGATGGGAGACTCATATTTTTATAGACCAATCTGCACTCAGTGGATGATGTGGTCAACATCTTGCTGGCTGGTTGGCATGACCTCTCAGGACATTACCTGGCACATCTGGATTGACATGGGAGACAAGGTCAAATATGAGAACATAAATCTGCCCAAATGTGGGTTCAAACCCAACACCTTTAGACCTGCATCTAGCCATTTTGCTAACAAGTATCAGCTGGTTTACTAATCATATGTTTTTGTCATTAAGCCCATTTCATCTAGGCATTTAAATTTATTTGTCCTGAATAACTAACTATATCAAATGTCGTCTGGATATACACATCAAGACTCATCTGGAATATAAACAGCTGATAGACTCAGTGTCGCTGCAAAGTTTAGCGAAGGAAAGGAAATAGGGTAGACTGAATGACTGCAATTCCAGAGATGTTGATAAGGATAGATGAATAACCACCTGCTGGAAATGTGTTATTTGCCTCGCTGTCCTAAAGGAAGACATGATTTTCACCTGCATCTCTGGTACTGGCTATAACTGCATATTATGTAGAATGGTCGGCTGACAATATACATTCACCCCCCCCCCCCCCTTTTCCCCCTCCCACCCCCTAAAAAATTTTTTAGATCCTATTTGGGGTCAACAAAATAGCATTTTTTTTTTTAAATTTTCATCATTTACATAATAATAATAATTTTATGTGACATTACTGGCTTATCTGTACACAGCCTGTTGATTCCTTGCCTCTCAAGCAAATCCACTCCAACTTTCAGAAAACCCCTAATTAGTCTATATATACGCTTGTTAGGCAGACTATTCTTGTCTTCCCCCCACAATGGGGCACTGGAACCCACAGGGGGAAATCACAGTAGAAGAATGAGTTTAAAGTCATGTGCAACATAGGCTTTAATATGGCAAGTCTCCCCCCAAAGAGACAAGCAGAAAGCTAATGACCAAGCTAAGAGAGAAACAAAATAATTGTCTATCTAGTTAAATTCTTCTTTCCTTCTAGTCGCTTCGTGAGATCTCTTCAATTTCTAAGAGCATTAAAGTAAGTCACTTTTGGTTTGCTGGACCAATCACAGTGTTTTCAAACTTTCTAGAAGGTCACACTTGAACTAGAGTATCACATTCAGACTAGTTTAACATAACTTCCGCTATAAAGTTATATAATGAGCAAATATTTTTTTTTTATTTAAAAAAAAAAAAAGAGGAATGTAGAACTAGGCAGCTTTACAAGAAGATAATAATAAGTGTCAGAATGAATTTAAGGCTAGATGGCCTTCATTAGCAATCAAAAGTAAAATCTTTTGTGCTGGTGTGTAAGAACGGGTGCTAGAGAAGGTATCTTCTTCTAGTCCATGCGTCATTAGTAATCACTCCTGACCATGGCTATCTAGCTCATCTACTGTTTAGGTGATCCAACAAAAGTGCCAGTCATAATCAGAAGAACTTGAGCAGATGTCTAACTAAATAGTGTACATCAACTAACATCATTAGAATGTACAGGTCAAAGTATCACCTGGGTGAATGGTGCAATGCCCTCCTAATACATTCTATTGCCTGGTAGGGGTTTCCCTTGATCCTCCAATAGAATGCAGCCATGTTATATAGAATCCACGATGTGCTATTCTGTGGAAATATTATTAAACATGTTCTATAGCAAACTGAATAATCCACCAATGACTGCGTTTTTGGAACTATCTTCTTCTTCTGCTTGTGTTTACCCTTAAGAAGGCAGCTGGCATGTTGTGTTGTGGTTTACAGCTAGGCTGCAATATGTGGCCCCCCCCCCCCCACACATCCTATTTCAGCAACCTCCTAATTAGTCACTTTTTATGATATGGTTGTTTGGGGACAGTGGGTCCCTTCTCCTGTCCCCCCCCCCCCCCAATGTGAGCCCTCCCTGGAAACTCACTATCATATTGTTGAAAAATTGCAACAAAAGAATTATCTTTATTAATTCTTTATCCTGAATATTAATGTAAACTTCTTTGATTATTTGCAGGAAAAACTGAAATAGTCTATTTTTCACATTTCTGATATCATCACCACCATCATGTGCCCTGCCAAATGGCGTAGGTGCTTATGCGTCTTCACAGATCACAATCTCTGGTTGCCTGGATGATATCCCTCCATGCCATCGTTTCAGCCCATCCAGCATCATCTCTCTTGGTCTGTCTCTATCCCTTTTTCCACTGATCTTTCCGGTTGTCACGATGTTCTCCAATGTCTCTCTTCTCATTACATGGCCAAAGAACAGTGTTTGTCTCTTTCTTATTGTTGTATACAGAGATCTACTTTCATTAGCTTCTTTCAAACAATCCTTGTTAGTTACTCTGGCCGTCCAAGGTATTCATAAAATTTGTCTCAAAAACCACATCTCTGTTGCTTCCAAATTCTTCTTAATTTGTTAGACAATGAACTGAAAGGAACCAAGCCATCAAACATGGAGCTAACCTAATCATGATGTTATAGTTACAATAATCAGTATACAAACTTTTTATGTTTCTCAATCACAGGAATTATCAATGAACAATGACATCTATCAATTATAGTTACCTTACTGAGAGCCTCATAGACCAGGTGCCCATAGTCATCAACATTTTCACGATGAGTTATGGCATTCTTTAGACCCAGCTCTGGTGTTCCGGATAAATTTGACCTTGCCTTCATGCCCTTTAATTTAAAAAAAATGTGATGGAAATAGATGTGAAATAAGTTATGACAATAAGTGATTATCAACTGATTTTATTGACAACACTTTTCTTTCTATATAAGCAGAACACATTGTACTTCTGTATCAGATAACGATATAACAAAAAGCCTAACTACATTCTACGGTCCAATCAATTATATGTTTTTGGAGTCCCTAGCAACATACAATCAGGAATGTAATTTTTTCCCATTGTAATGTATACCTACCAACAATCTCACATGCCTCTAATATGTCAGATTGAGAAAATGTTGAAGTTAAAAACAATAAACCGCATTTTAATCTGTCCATAGACTGTTGTACATAAAATGTCTTTACAGTGCTTTGGGCAGAATAATCCCTAGAGATCATAGTTCCGTAATTTACATAATGTTAAAGGTAAATCTAAAAATTGGCATACTACATTTCAGATGAGGTTTACAGCCTATTCAAGAAAGCAATTATCAGAAATAATTTTAACAGCTGACAAGATCAAATAAGAAATAATAGGACACTACAAAGAAATGTCTTAAAACATCTTGTATCGTTTCATGGACAAATAGTCACTCTGTGCAGGGCAACTTCTAGAAAGAAACAAGCCATGGGAACTAGAAGAAAAACTGAGCACAATTAATTCAGTAAAATACTCTGTGCAATCTTATGCTCAGCATCCAACATCAGACTGCAGGGAAACCATATGTCAAACAGAAACAGGGACCTATGAGATAAAAGACATCCCTGTTTCATTCCAGTTTCAAGTGCAAACCAACCACTTAAACCATCATCCGTTTGTACTGATAACTCTCAGCCTTCATTCACTGCTAGTTTATTATTTAACTGGTATATCATAGCATTCCAAAAATCACCCACAGTGATGCTCTGCCATCAATATAAGAAGCAAAAAAAAACAAAAAACTATATATACACATCTGCTATATATTCAAGCGTGTCAGACTTTAAATGTGTCTATTTGTTTATTATTAATCTCCATATGAACAATGGCTAATAGCTAATGTTCACTGGAGAGTTTTTAATCTATCTTGAGCCAAATATGTCACCTAGACTGTCTTGTCTGTGTACGTAACCCTTGACAGAACCCGCCTATCATGGTCTCCCTTGAGTTGCTAGTGCACTTAACCCTTGACAGAACCTGCCTGTCATGGTACCCGCTCAGTTGTCAGTGTACTTAATCCTTGACAGAACCTCACTATCATGGTCTCCCTTGAGTTGCTAGTGCACTTAACCCTTGACAGAACCTGCCTGTCATGGTACCCCCTCAGTTGTCAGTGTACTTAATCCTTGACAGAACCTCACTATCATGGTCTCCCTTGAGTTGCTAGTGCACTTAACCCTTGACAGAACCTGCCTATTATGATTCCCCTTTCAGCTATCAGTGTACTTAATCCTTGACAGACCCTTCCTATTATGGAAACCAGACTCCACCAATCAGAAAATGGGAATATCAAGACGACGAGCGGATAGGACAGAACTAAAATGCACTATACAGATGTTTCTTACCATAGTCAAGAACGAAAAAAGAGACACAATTAAGAAATAGAAGACCCTTGCCTCCAGATACAACAACATCAGGTATCGAAGAACTTTATACAAGGAAGAAACAACATCAGTCAAACCGTTTAGAACAACATAACCAAATGGAACCGAAGGAAACCATATTCAAGCAAATCAAACTTAATAAAGGTCGCAAATATAGGCAGCAGCTATATAGCTAAAAAGCCTGAACGAGATCAAATTATTCTTTTTGTTTTTTCAAGAAGCAAGCAAGCAAGCAGAAGCTTCCTATTATGGTCCTCCCTTCAGTTGCTAGTGTACTTAATCCTTGATAGATCCTGCCTATCACAGTCCCCCTTCAGTTGCTAGTGTACTTGACCCTTGATAGATCCTGCCTATCACAGTCGCCCTTCAGTTGCTAGTGTACTTAATCCTTGATAGATCCTGCCTATCAGTCCCCCTTCAGTTGCTAGTGTACTTAACCCTTGACAGAACCTGACAATCATGGTCTCTCCTTTCAGCTGCGAGTGTACTTAGCACTTAACAGTGACAGAGCCTGACTATCATGGTTCCCCCTTTAGTTGCTCTTATAGATCTCTACTTACCTCTAAATGCTCAAAGGCATGCATGCTGAATTCAAGGTCCATGAAAGCTGTACAGTCTGGAGATTTTGGACTAGCACTAGGAGAGGCATTCAAATCTATATGTTCCTCTGGTCTATAGGAAAGAATTGTTACAAAGTAAGGAAATGTGCCAGTATAACTCATACACTGAGATATTAGGCAGATAGTGGAAAATCTACAACACAAAGATAATGTACTTTCTTTGACTGTTTTTCAAATTATTATTTTGTAATGAACTAATATTGGGTTTAATGGGAAACTTGTAGAATCTCAACATTACAACAAACATTCACAACATGGACATCTATTTAACAAGACTGCAATAAAAACACAGAAAATAACATTTTCATTCATAACTTACAAGACAATATATCACTAGTTCTTGTTTTCATCATCATCAACTGTCAAATGCGTACTGAAGGTTGACTGCAATGAGTCTCCAACATCTTCTGCCCTACATATTCATGCTGTTATGGGACAGCGGGAATCGCCGTGGCTAGATGCTCATCGCGGATCGGAAGGTCGTGGGTTCGCTCCCTGGCGGAGCCGGACTTTTTAAAAAAATGACCTTGGCTCCCAGGTCGACCCAGCCTTGAGTGGGTACCAGGTGCAGTCCCGGGAAAGTAAAGGCGACCGGCGTGATGCTGACCACATCACCCATCTTGTGCCGATTGGTCTATAAAAATATAGGTCTAGCCCTATATGCCCTAAAAGCCTGATAGCGTGGAAAAGGGTCCTTTACTTCCTTTTCTTTTTTTAATTACTAATGGGACAGCTTTTTGCAGCTGACCGCTAATGTTATTCACACACACCTGACACTGTCATCTTTTTGCACTCCTACTTTTCACTCTCCCATCAGGTTAATATTTACATTTTGCAAATCATTTTACTTAAAAATAAGTGTCCTCACAGTGAACAACTAAAAAACAACATAAGCCAAACAGGGGTGATATCCATCATGATTGCTAGACAGTCATGATTCTCTTTTACAAACATTAAAATATAAAACCACTGTGAACTCTAGGGTAAGTGCTGCTCTTTGCTCACATTTGGTTTTCCAATTCAAAATAACATTCAAAACTGATCCTTCTTCTCCATCTTTAGTTCTACTAGAATGCATCTAACCCTTTCTGTGAGTGCCAAATTTTTTTTTTTTTATATTCAGAAACTATGAGTTGTTAACCCTTTAGCTCGGTACTATGAATACTGCAATACTTCAGCCTTGACTCCATAATAGATACCGTAAATCTGGGAAAAATGTGGCTTTTCTGCCTACCCCCCGCGTGAACTCAGACCACAAAGAGTTTGTCACCCAGTCGCGCGCAGTCAGGTTTAACCAACTGAGCTAGCAAGCTGGGTCTGTGAGTTCTATAAGGTGGATCTGTGAGACAACCTGAGATCTGATATACTTCATGAAAATTCACTATTTAAAACTAAACTAATGGGGGAACAAACTGTAATTCTCATACAGTATTGGAGATAAAGCTTGCAGATAAATACCTGATTCCTTTATTTTCCAGTGGCAGGACAGTGCTAATGTACAAATCAAACTCAGGCAATGGTTTTCCAGCTTCAATGCAATCAGGATTAGTTCTGTAAAATTTCTGTTCAAGACCTGTTGAGATAAATACAATTAATCCGCAATTACAGTAAACTGTAATTGCTGTAGCCACTTTGATTTCACAACACACTTGGTTGTTTATGGTCCTCTTCTTATTCTCTGCTCATCTAACTTCATTTGTCAGATTACTGACTGCTATCTTCACTGTGTTACAGCATAGCTGCAACATGTGTACCTTTCTACCCACTTGTCCCAGCATTTGTTATCTAGCCTAGCTTCCTCAAGCAGTTTCACAGGACATTATGCTGCCTCAGCTGGAGATGTGACCTGTGTCTGTTCTGTCTACAGAGGATGAACCCTCAATAAGTCCACTCAGAACAACTTCATTCATACAGCCTGGTCTTCACGTGAATGGGAGGGAAAACCACTTGGTCATTCCCATTATTTTAAGGAATCTTCTAATAACACAGCCCCAGCACATGCAGATCTGATTACATCACATCCTGCACATGAGTTTTTGGCCTTGTTGTGAATACCTGGCCTATTCATCAACAGCTGCACTTTTAGACAACGGTAAAATGTGCAGCAACTCTGATGGCCTCTCCCTTTAGCCCTGAGAAGCCAAAAAAAATTGACACTTCTGTTTGGGGCCAGCTCCCTGTAAATGTCACTTTTCCGATTTGCTGATCGTGACCTTTTACGAGATGATTAGCTAATACAACTGGCTGGGTGTGCATATGTGCAAATGACTTGGAGGTCAGAATATTAATAATTTAACTAATAACAGCATTTAGCGGGGTTCTCTTTTGTGTCCAAGGGCTTTTTTAAGATAAATCAGATTCTCTCATAAGCCTCAGTGATAAAGGTCATGGCATGAGTCACCTGATGTGTGTTTTTAAAGTCCCACACAGGATATATTCAGTTTAATGCTTCACCCCGTTCATGTTTACTGATTACCTATGTCATATATCTTTATATATTTTGAAAAATAATTTTAAAATTAATTTACTAGTGACCTGTGTACAAAGTATTGTTGTCTTTACGGATTTTTTTCAGGAATCATAAAAAGGGCATGATCTATTTTTCTTAGAGTTTTGAGAATCAGTCTTGATCACAGACCTCTGCATCTGAAGCTTATGAAGGACAGCATGTTCTTGACAGAGGACTAGCCAGGCTTCACGGCCTTCTATTCATGTTTTTATTCTTTCTTTGCAGGTCTCCAGGTTATTTTTTCTTGCAAGATCATGTTTTTGCTGTCCATCTACTGCAATCGTTAGGGGGGGGGGGGGGGTGTGTGTGTGTGTGTGTGTGTGTGTGTGTGTGTGTGTGTGTGTGTGTGTGTGTGTGTGTGTGTGTGTGTGTGTGTGTGTGTGTGTGTGTGTGTGTGTGTGTGTGTGTGTGTGTGTGTGTGTGTGTGTGTGTGTGTGTGTGTGTGTGTGTGTGTGTGTGTGTGTGTGTGTGTGTGTGTGTGTGTGTGTGTGTGTGTGTGTGTGTGTGTGTGTGTGTGTGTGTGTGTGTGTGTGTGTGTGTGTGTGTGTGTGTGTGTGTGTGTGTGTGTGTGTGTGTGTGTGTGTGTGTGTGTGTGTGTGTGTGTGTGTGTGTGTGTGTGTGTGTGTGTGTGTGTGTGTGTGTGTGTGTGTGTGTGTGTGTGTGTGTGTGTGTGTGTGTGTGTGTGTGTGTGTGTGTGTGTGTGTGTGTGTGTGTGTGTGTGTGTGTGTGTGTGTGTGTGTGTGTGTGTGTGTGTGTGTGTGTGTGTGTGTGTGTGTGTGTGTGTGTGTGTGTGTGTGTGTGTGTGTGTGTGTGTGTGTGTGTGTGTGTGTGTGTGTGTGTGTGTGTGTGTGTGTGTGTGTGTGTGTGTGTGTGTGTGTGTGTGTGTGTGTGTGTGTGTGTGTTCCAGATAAAAAGAGGTCTTAATTACGCTTCTGTTTTGGTTTTCCAAAAATGTCTTAAAGAAGGCCAAGCAACAAACTAAGTCTCAACTCAGCATTTTATCATAAGGCAAACTTGTTATCAAATGGACTGAATACAATGTAAGCACTGAAGTAATGCAGGTCAGAAGAAGTCTTAGTCTGCTGCACATAGGGTTGAATCTTACTTGTCTGAAGCAAGTTGAAGAATGTAAATATCTAGGAAGTACATTCTCGGAGGATGGGAGAATAGATCAGGAAACAGAAACAAGAGGCCAATGAGCCAATGCATTTATATACCAAATAACACTGTTACTAAGACATCCAAACATAAGTATGAATGGCAAGAAACAGATTATAAACAGCATATTCATACCAACACTGTGCTACAAGTGGCAGACTTGGACATTATCAAAAGCTAACCTTTATAAAAACACCAGAAATGAGATGCCTGAGGAAAGTCACCAACTCAACCATCCGAGACAAAGTTAGATACGATATTTTTAGACAGTGACGACGGGAATGACACCATGCAAATTCACTGAGAAACAGAAGATCAAATGATTAAGTCATCAAGTAAGAATGCAGCCTCAACAACTAATAACGCAAGTGCTACACATGAAAAGATCTGATGTGATAGCAAGAGGTCGCCCAAGGATAAGGATTGATGACATTAAAGAGCTTCTACATCAACACAAAATGACAACAGCCATTACTGCCCAACAAGCAATGGATCACAAACTGTTCCTCCCCATGACACTTAACAGTAGCAGTGGAGATTGATCCTGATAATGATGATGAAGCACTGTAGATACCATACCCCATTTTGTTTATAATTATGAGAGATGTTATAATATAAATAAATTTAATGCAAAACTACAGAAAAACAGCAATCTATAACTTTTTAAAAGAAACATTCTTCTTAGTTTAATACTAGGTACTATCATTTACCTGTCAGAATAGAAGAAAATGGTTACAAATATGTCTCTGGGAAATAGAACCATGCACTTTGGCCCCAGGGATCCGCCATCTCGCCTGTGCTCTTTAATGTGTATACGAGCTAGATTGCAAGCCTAGAAGCACCAGAAGTTGGAAGAATACTGACTTTTGCGGATGATATACTTGCATATAGACACAGACCACCCTCCGCTTGAAGCTCTGGGTGCAGTTAAATGTCAGCGGCTGATAAGAGGGAGATCATGGATGGCTTAGGCAGAAGACACAATCAGACAGGTTTGCATCCTTGAGAACACTAGGCGAGGAGAGGAGTGGGTCACAGTGCCACCTGAACAGTCAGACTTGTGTAGAGTCATAATCACCCTGAGCCGGGAAGGCAGAGACTGGCCAGCAGGTGCCACAGAGGTGGAAATTCAGCAATTATTTCAAGATAATACTCGCTCAGAGGATTTGATAATTTACACAGACGGTTCAGTGTCAAGAGGCAAAAGAAGTGCTTGGGGCTTCTTAGCAAAAGTTAATGGTCGACGTTTGGTGCAGGAGAGTCTAGCATATGATACCACAATATCCAGCTTGAGAATGGAGGTGGAGGCGGTCACTGCAGCTTTCCGCTGGCTAGAGAACACGATACACACACACATCGTGATTGTAACTGATTCAGAAAGCATGCTGAGGAAGATCAGAACAGGTATGCTCCGTGCAGAGAGGCAAGCTTCGCTGCGGAGGACACGGGTGAGGAGTATTGTCTGGATTTTTTCACCAGGTCAGGCCGGTGTGTTGGGAAATGAACAGGCAGACAGACTGGCTGGCTCAGCACAAATTGGTGGAATACTGACACATGATAAGGCAGACATAGTTAGTGCCTTGTGGGAGAGCGTGTACAGTTCAGAGGAGCAGATGGATCACCAGTCTGGTGAGATTCATGCAGCGGGGAGTGACGAGAGGTTCTGGCAGATGCTCGAGGCTCAGAGGAAAGGCAAGACGGATGTTTAATCTGAATGCTACTGGCACCATTAGTATCCAAACTCTTTGCTGGCTGCTGAAGATGGGGACGGAGCGCTTATGAGAATGCCCCAAGTGCTGTGATGTTGGTTCTTGAATCAAATCAAATCTCTGGGAAATAACTTGCCATATAACCTAATATAGTAAGTGTTATGATTTTAACACTTACGCTGGCTGGAACTTAAGGGCACATTTTGAATCTCTCTGCAATGTATATTATGGATATGTTTTCAAACATCAAAGTATGAGCCACTAGCCACACCTGAGATCCCTGTGGATCACTGCTGGAGCTACAGAGTTCATACTCTATGTAACATTACTGGCAGGCAGCTAGGTATTCTGCAGAGAGAGGCTGAGCCATATAGCGTAAAACTTGGTGCAATGATGCTAATCCTCTCGACTTTGAACTTTTGAGTCAGATCAAGTGTGAGGTGCTGAAGGTGCAGACACTTAATTATAATTATTATCTACATCAGTAGTTCAGCTCACCTGTGTCTCTATCTTCATTTTTATCGATTTCATCTTTTCTTGTCAACAGTTCTTTTTTAAGAGTGTTTAACATAGCTGCTCTGTCTTCTTGCCTCATGAATGCTACAAGATCGTATGGCCGGCGCAGATTGTACACAGAATCAGCCTGTGAGAGAAAATAAAAACATAACTCAACATTACCTGAGCAGAATTATAAATGAAAGAGTCAACAACTTACATCAATGCACTCAGATTGATTCCACATTTCCCTTATTTAGTTAAAGTTAAAGTTAGTTGGGTACCCTTTACAGGACATCGCAGAACCAACCCCAGCATTGGCTGTTATAGTTTTTCTAGGCACATTTACGTCCAGTAGTTTACCACTGCTTTCTGGACAGTCAGCTTATCGATACCACCGTCAAAACCAACGCAAGGCACAAGGTCCGCAGCTGGAATCGCCTAAGTAACAGGTGCCAACCCTTATTTAACAGACAATGAACTTCCATGTTGATGGTACCGGTTGCAAACTGACTGAAAGTCTTCTTTTATTTTCCCATGCATATTGAATATTGTCCAAATTCTTTGCTCACTCTCCACTGAATGAATCTTATCAAGTATTTTTTTTAAATTACATCTGTTCCATAGGCCTAGGCACCTGATCTCAGAAACTTTTCACAAAGTTCACCTTCAAGATTAACTATTCAGCTCGAAACATCCACTTTAGTAAACCCTTAACTGGTCACCTTTTACAATTCTCCCCCCCCCCCCCTCCCCTGACTTTCTGCCTCTTGCTCTTTTTGAATAAATATTAGCTGAGTTTACAGGTAAAATACACTATAGGCAAAAGGGGGGGGGGGGGGGGCCACAACTGCAGGACACTTAATTTAATCAGTGTGACTAACTATGTATATCAAGTGAATGGCAGCTGCAGTTTTAATGGCATCATCTCAGCTTACAGAAAAATATACTAAAGATAACATTGTCATCACACTTTTAAATACTAAACAGTTTACATGATGAAACATGCAATGTCAAGATCAATTTACAAAATGGAAAGTTGGAAAACATATAGACAATGAACAAATAGAAAGTGCAGCACACTTCCACTTAAGTGGAATTAGATAACTGAGTCTGGGAGAAAAATATTCAGTCACAGATCGTTTACACAGGTGGAGAATGAATATATAAGAAGACAATACTTGTGTGAGTGTGTGCGCGTGCGTTTTTTAAATTTTTTTAATCAACTGCCGAGAGCAAGGGTAAAGACACAGATGCATTCTGGAATGAACCTAACTTGGCACTGGACCTAAACACACACTTAAAAATAACAGTCGCACTCAGGAACATCAATGTGAAAAGGTGTGAAAGCAGCCCTAGAAATATCTTTGTACTGAAAAAAGCTGCTGCATACATTTGACATACAGTAGCTCACACTAGCTTTGTTTCTCCGGTTCTAATTTCATAAAGACCAGTGTATTTAAAAACAATGTTGCTCACAATCACTGTAGATTAATACCTCTGCTAAAGCCTGGCAAAGACCACACAAAGATTCGGGGATATAGAGCAATAACAATGCAAAACATGATAGGCAAGTTGGTGGAGAAGATTACTGCCAAACAAAATATTATGCCGGCTCGAAAGGCAAGGTATCTTACCACCTACCCTTGGTGGCTAATGCCCCGACAGAGAAACTTGGAGTAATGCTGCTGTTTTTGCCCTCAACATATATGAGTGGTTCCATTCAGGCATTGAAACCTGTGCAGCTGCTAGGGACCTCAAGGATGCTTACAACCAAGTACACTTGGACTTATCTTTCAGCTGCTAGAACTACATGTCAGTGCTTTCTCCTCAAATGGATCTCTGCAGCCCTTCTACAACAAATGGTAGTATTGGGCTTCTGAACCAACAACAATACATCCTGGCAAGCCACAAGGTTCACTCCTATCTCAAGTGTTACTCAAGGCCTACACTGTGAGAATCACAGGTGAACAGATCACAGGATGAGGAAGGGTATTATCATATGCTGATGACCTTATGGTGTACCATCAGGGCAAAGACTGGAATGAGGTTGCAGAGGAACTTCAGTCTGAGCTCGACCGCATAACCACCTAACCAATTAGTGTGGTGAGGCGGGAGCACAGGTCAACCCATCGAAGGCAGCTGCAACACGGTTCTCGCTAAACAACCGCTTTATCAATACTCCATAATCAACTCTAAATTTATGCTCGGAGGTGGTGGAAAGAGCTCTGGCAATTAAATATCATGGAGTTCTTGTTTGATTGCAGTATGGCTTTTACTGGGAACATAGGCTAGGAGGGGTTTGGCAGCTATGAGAGTCATGACAGCAGTAAGGCGGAACAGCAACATCTTTGTCTTTTTATACCACTGTTTAGTCTTTTATACCAAGGTCTGGTCCTTTCAGTGATCGAGTATGCCCTGGCGATTATTATTGTTAGCCAGACTTAGATATAGAAAAAATACAAAATGAGGCCATGCGCATTATACTTGGGTGCATTAAAGATACAGCATGCAGAGCAATGCGGTGCCTCCTTGGTTTTCCAACAATGGAAGCTTAAGAGAGGAAAATCCTGAATGGGTCAGGCCGAAGATATTATACAAGAGGTTTGCCCACTTGAGGACACAGAACTTGGGGAGGAATGGGTACGTGTACCACCAGAGTGTCATACGTCCTTTGAAGTATGCATCAAGCTGTACAGAGAATGCAGACAGTAGTTGTGGAAGCAGAAGTGAGAATTCTTCTGAGAGCGATGGGATCATCTAAACAGACGGGTCTGTCATCAAAATGTCAGAAGCTGGTGGGAATTTACGGCTGTTGGAGGGAGAATAAGACTGTCAAAAAGACTGTGATGCCTTCGCCTTGATGACAAGCAGTTTGGCTGTGGAGGTCATGGCAACAACGAAAGCTACAAACACAGATTTTCACCCGGGCATGCTTTTTCAGCGACTTAATGAATATGCTCAAGAAGATCGAGAAGGGTTGCATACAAAGACAATGGGGTAGTCCCTGACTAGATCTAGGCTGACAAATGTCATTTCCATATTTGTTCCGGGTATTCTGGTATAAAAGGCAATGAATGAGCTGACAGACTTACAAGTGAAGCTCATGTGAGAAATGGATGAGTAATGGACAGGACTGACATACTGAATGCCCTCAGAGACAACAAATCAAGCAATGATTTTGAACCTGTTACACTGACAAGACTACACGAACATAACATCAGAAGGGAAAAAGCCAGACAAGCGCGCTACACAGGGGCCCAAAGAAGAATAGTAAACCAACACATAAGTGGCGTCATAAACTACAACACACTGAGGGAGATACAGAGGAGGGAATGAGAGCACTTATGGACTAAATAGTTTGATGTGCGACGATGATTATCTGTTGACTGACTAACTGCAGAATTATATACATTACTTATTCACCTGACAGGGTTCTGGTATTCAGAGACACTTTGGGGGAGATGTAAGTTTCGTAGGTGCACTTTTCCAATGCATTGTACAAGTTGGTGTTTATTTCAGTTAGGTTGCTCCTGATGGTGTCGCTCCATCTCTTGCATGGTCTTCCCCTTGCTCTGTGTTTGTTATATTTATTCAGTGTGGCTCTCTGAGGCAGCTGGTACCAGGGCATTCTCGTCTAGTGGCCAAACCCTCTCCTTTGTTGTTCTTTAATGAACTGTATGACTGGTTTCAGTCCTAGTCTTCTAATTTCTTCATTCCTGATTTTATCTTTTCTTGTCACATCAGCAGCTCTCCTAAGACAACTCATCTCTTTTGTTATGATCATCTGCTCAGTAGTTGTAGTAAGGGTTTATGTTTGGCGCTGGTAGCACAAATCGGCTAAAAAACTGTTCTTATGAGATTTGCTTTGGTTTATAGAGGTATCTTTCTATGGTTCAGAAGCGGTAATAATTGTCCTATAACCTGATTTGCTTTCGCACATCGTATGTTGATTTCTCTATCCATTATTCCCTCTGAGGTGAAAAATGACCCCAGATATTTAAATTAGCATTTTTGTTTTATTAGAAATGATGACTACTAGTAACTGGAAGCTTTGCACAGGTGTCATTAACATCAGAATAAAAGAAAACCTTAATGACCAACTTTACTTGCACAAACAGTGAGCTATAATTCTGATATAGGATTCTTGCTGCTGCCTTTCTGATGGCTGCTTTATGCATTTACTTTGCATGTGCAAGTGTCAAGATTTTGTTGGGACATATACTTCTCACTAGTTATCAAAGGGGATGGTGAAGGACATCTGGTGTGATTCCCACTGGCACAGGAATGGAACAGTTTCGGGCAACAAGTCTGCAGCAAAGTTACAACTTTTACTAATGACTAGTTTTGATGTAGGACTCATAATAACACGACACAAAATTCTTTTATTACGGCTATTTTATTCTGAGTATGTTTCATTTATATGAATGACACACTCACACAGTTCAATGATTAAATAATCTGGCTCTTCTCCGAACTTCATTCCCATATTATGGCAGCCAAACAAATACCCTAACAGGGTCTCAGTCATGTGTAAAACTGCGGAGTGCCTGCCGAGTAACAAATCACTGCAAAACTAGTATTGTCTCCGAAAAAACGGGCCAATATTATCAAGGGCAAACAAATACTCTAACAGGGTCTCAGCAATATGTTAATTGCGGACCTGTTTCTGCGACTATGCCACACCGCCAACAGTATCCCCGCGCTACTACGTGTGGATGGGAGGCTAAACTAGATGGATGGGACTCATGGGCAAAAAAATTGGACGAAGTTGCAGGAGATGCGATAGCTGCTGCTCGTGAGTTCCAGCCATCTAGTTTAGTCCCCCATCCGCACTGTGCTTAACGGCGTGGGGGATACGCTCGCGGTGAGTTTAATTGGAAGAAACTATCGCTAACCTACGTAAGAGCGCGTGGTCTCCCCGTCATGTCGCTATTATCGTGTGCATTGTTGCGTTTCTCGAAATTGTCAACGGACAGTAATCCTGGTTTTGCTCCAATGTGTTCCTTGGAAGAAGTCAGCATTTTACACAGGACTGAGGCTCTGTTAGGGCATTTGTTTGGTTGCCATAATATGGGGACAAAGTTAGGAGGAGAGCCAATGATTTACTTTACCACCGATCCAGCGGCTCATGAGCTTTCGTCCTTTGGCCCAAACTTTACTTCACCACAAAATTATTGTCTCTGCATGTAAATAACATACCAAGATGTCAATGAGGTATCGTTGCATTTTTTTTTTTTTTTTGTAATTCTTTTTTATCTCACTTGAGTTTCTCAATAACTACCATTGCAAAGCCACAACTCATTCCCTGTCTGCTAGTAGTAGTTATGAATGCAGTAGTAATTACTAATTAGAATTGTATTTGGGCAATTTGCCATTGGCAACAGCAGTCAATTTTGTGTTTCTGAGAAGTCATTTTATTTGATTTCTAAAGAAATGGTGTCCCTGTCACAGAGTTTTACTTTTATTACAAATCACATATTAAATTACTACACAGAATTGTCAGAACTATTGGAAAAACCAAAATAAAAAAAATATTACTATTTTCTACAAATTGTAGAAACTACAATTATCACATCGCGGGACTCACACTTGGCTGTAGCCACTTTTTATGACATTTAAAAAAAACAATAATTGTGTTGTGTTGGTGCAAAGAACTTTGATTTGACAATGACACTTGTCTTTGTGACAGGAGGAAATGTGAATAATTGCAGAATAACAAGTTAACAACATAAAACTAAAACAAAACCACCAGTGACATAGAACTCTGTAGGCTGATATAAACCATTCTCATTTTGCTGACAAAAGTACACACCTGCGATTGTAATCTGCCATCTTCTGTAACAATCCAGTGAGTAGATCCATTGGTAATTGTGCATCTCTGCAAAAGTAAACTGACGAGCAGGACCAATGTTATGGTCGACGCCATCTTGCTAGAGACATGAACATCGACAGCCACTGGTCCTCGCCCGGAGACCGACTCTGACGTCGGCGGGGGAGTAATCATTAAACTTTCATCTACATCCCTCAGTCCGGTGCGCCCGTACCTTCCAACTGTGATGTTGTGCGGTACAGGGATTCTCACTATTGGGAATTCTCAATTTTGTTTATGCAGTAGTTCTCTTTCGGCATCTCTCATAATGATTCAAGTCTTTATGCAGCTCTCTTATGTATGTTATTTAGCAGTGTAAAGGTGCATTACAATTTTCTTTTGGTGCCGTCTTCACAGCATATTGTCTCGGAAGCTGAAATATTTTGGTCATATCAAGCGCCACGACGGAATGGAAAAAAATTATAGCAGAAGGCATGATACCAGGAAGGAGGGGCAGGAGCCGATCGACACGAAGATGGGCACAGCAAATAAGTGACTCCTTGAGTATGAAAGTGCGTGAGGCTGGAGAACTGGCGAGAGACCGAGTTTCTTTCAGGTCTACTGTGATGAGAGCAACGTTCTGCAAAGGACCTGCTACATGAAGATGATGACGATGATGCCGTCTTTACAGCAGAGGTTGGTTGTAGTCGATAATCTACTGCTGCTTCCTCAGATCTTTATGATATTACGTGGTGAGGGTCTGGTCTCTTCCACACTGCGACCCTCTTACTGCTGGTTTAAGGCCACAAGAAAAGAAAAAACGTTGGACACTTTCAACCCGCCCTGGGGCTTGGCTATATTTGCGTCCTTGGATTCTTGTGGTTTTGGAGTCATTTTTTTTTCTTGTGACGTGGGATTACGTCTGGTTGAAACTTTTCTGCGATTCTGTTAAGAAGGACTCTTAGATCTTGCCTGGGTCGGCCTGGAGCTGGTATGGGCTCGAGAAAGGTTTTCTGTGCTTTCTTTAGGTTACCCCAGATGACGTCACAGGACAGTCCAACATTTTACAGGTTGGTAAAACGGTGTTTCCCGGCTTTCTGGTGCTTTTAACGACCCCAAAACATCTACAACTGGCCATAACCCTAAACCCACCTACGTCCCACGGGAGAATGCAACCTAGGTTCCACTACTGTATACAGCCTATCTACCACCCCACTCCACTGAACTATTAGACTGTTCCGTGTTCTGTGGATTTCCCTCTGTTTGGTGAAAGATATAAATAAAGCACCAGGCTTTCTTGTGTACCGTTTATTGCGGAATGGATTCTTGGTACGTCAATGATTGTGAAATGACTTCACTAACTCACTAATAATCTATTGGCGCTTCACTATTGCTCACTTGCTTCCAGGGGGATTTGACTTCACATAGCTTGTAACCAGTCAAGTCAGCTCCAAGTGTACAGGACAAACCTGTTTATTTCCAAATACAGCTAAATACCCTGGGGAAAATACCCAGAGCACATCACTAATTGTATCCTGCTTGTGGCATCAAACACTTTCCTAATATCACCCAGGGTTTCTCACCCAGGGCACCACGGAAGGGGGGAGGGGGCACCACTCATATTCCTTCTCTGAGGAAAAGATAACGCTACATTGACAAACAATGACATTAATTTTTTTTTTTACGGGTCGGTCTCTCAAATGCCCAGCCCCACCCCCCCCCCCCCTCGACTAACCGGAGAATATTACGTCGGTAATCCAGACTGAACGAGAAATGTTTTCATGTTTGGATTTGCCGTTTCGGTTTTATCCGTGACTTTGTTTTGTGGCCAATCCCTGTCCCTTTGGCCAGACCAGTACAGCAGAGCTACACTTTGATCTCAGCCATAAGGCCGAGAAGCGATCTAGGTAGGTAGGTAAGTTGTACCCCACCAGGACATCACACAAGCGATAAACACCCGGTGACACAAAGTGCAACCATGCGGATGAGGATCACACGCGGAGAGGTCCCGGAAACCCCGTTCAGCCGTTAGGCCATATTTAAGGCCTGGCTATATTTAGGGTCCACTTCAAAAGCCATGGCGGGGCTTCAAACTGACTAAAAATAGTACCCAACGTGAGGACGACAAGATAGTTGTCTGAACAGGTGTTGTTTATACCAATTTTTAAAATAAATTTAAGAGCAATAGAAAATAATGAACAGACTATGTATAGTAGTACCATACACATAAATTATATTTTTTTTTTTCAAGCTTAAAATACAATAACAATACTTAGTGAACAAGATAAGGAAACAAAACATAGTTAATGACTTACTGACTTTCTACCCCACCAGGACATCATAAAAGTGATTAACACCCGATGACACAAAGTGCCACCATGTGGGTGAGGATCATCGTGGAAAGGTCCCAGAAACCGCGTTCAGCCTTTAGGCCATGTTAATGACAAAGCTATATTGCGGCCCCTGGTAAAGGCCAGAGTAGGGCTTCAAATAACGAAACATTTCATCCTAAAAAGGACTAAAGTATAGTAGTAACACACAACATAGTTAAAAAACTGACTGACTGACTTTCTACCCCACTAGGATATACATCACAAGCTATAAACACCTGATGACAAAAAGTGCCACCATGTGGATGAGGATCGCGGTGGAGAGGTTCAAGAAACCGCGTTCAGGCAATTTGCCATATTTATGGCCTGCCTATATTGCGGCCACTGGCAAAAGCCAGGGTGGGCTTCAAATAACAAAAAATTTTGTCCTAAAATGACGAAACTGGATGATTATAGTTAATAACAAGCATTAAAGTTACGTCTCTTACAGTCATTAAAAAAAAAAAAAAAAAACTTAGGAAAATAATTTGAACGAGACTAATCTTGTATTTTTTAAATCCATTTCAACTTTGAATCGAGACAGGTAATTTTGTGGTATGGCGGACCATGACTGACTGACTGACTTTCTACCCCACCAGGACATCTCACAAGCGATAAACCCCCGATGACACAATGTGCCACCATGTGGATGAGGATTACAGTTGAGAGGTTCCAGAAACCGCGTTCAGTGTATTTTAAATTACGACGCCATTTTATATCGCAATCCTCTCGTCTCATCTCCTTGTGGGATGCAATTTTTCTCTACTTTTTATCCCTTACGTCCTTTTTAGGACGTAATTTTTTCTTATTTGAACCCCCACTCTGGCTTTTGCCAGGGGCCGCATTATAGGCAGGCCATCAATATGGCCAATTGTCTGAACGCGGTTTCTGGGACCTCTCCACGGTGATCCTCATCCACATGGTGGCACTTTGTGTCATCGGGTGTTTATCGCTTGTGTGATGTCCTGGTGGGGTAGAAAGTCAGTCAGTCAGTCAGTCAGTCAATTTTTCTCTATTTTGAAGCCCCACCCTAGCTCTTGCCAGGGGCCGCAATATAGCCCGGCCATAAATATGGCCTAATGGCTGAACACGGTTTCTTGGACCTCTCCACGGGTGATCCTCATCCACATGGTGGCACTTTGTGTCATCGGGTTTTTATCACTTGTGTGATGTCCTGGTGGGGTAAAAATCTACTACTACTACTACCACGCCATTTTCAGTGAACCCCATGTAGGATGCCATTTTTCTTTTTTTTGAAACTCCACCCAGGCTTCTGCCGGGGGCCCTGAATATAGCCGGGGCATAGATATGGCCTAGCCATAAATATGGCCTAACGGCTGAAAGGGGTTTCTGAGACCTCTCCACGGGTGATCCTCATCCGCACGGTGGCACTTTGTGTCCCCGGATGTTTATCGATTGTGTGATGTCCTGGTGGGTTAACAAGTCAGTCAGTCAGTCAGTCAGTCACCACGCAAAACACAACGAGCTTACGAAACGAGGATAGCTTTCAACATATTGCTTCTATAAATAAATGCAATGGCTTCTCCCTATATTTTTTTTTCTCGGGCTGACTGCAGTGTGGCTTTATTCATGCTATATTCATGCTTTGTGATATATTTTAGAGAACATTCAGCATTGATTCCGCTCCTTCCCGCGGGCATAAGAATGGCTGATGTAAAAATCAGATATACATTTATTTATTCTCGAGTGTCATTCTTAGCTTTAATTTAACTGGGTTAAATGTTAAACCGTTAAGCTTAGAATATTCACTATTAAACAAGTTAGCTGCGTATCATTTACAGGACACTGCAGAAACAACACCAGCATGTTTTGGCTGTTGTGGTTTTATTAGGCAAATTTACGTCCAGTAGTTTGCCACTGCTTGCTTCTCGATACCACTGTCGAAACCAACGCAAGGCGAAAGGTCCGTAGCTGGGATCGAACACGGCAGTCCTGCATTACGAAGCGCGTTCGCAACACCTAAGCCACGGACGCCTACTAAAATTAACTTGTAGTTGTTTATTCTTGTTTTTTTTTTCTTCCCCTTTCTCTTCTTCTTTTCCTCCTTCTCTTTCCTATCTCTATTTTCTCTTTCTCCTTTTCAAACTCCTTATCTTCTGTTTCTATTTTCTCCATTCGTAAATGTACTTATAATATATATATATATATATATATATATATATATATATATATATATATATATATATATATATATATATATATATATATTATATATTTCTCTGTTATGTTTACGTGCCATCAATGTTTGTTTGCGCTGTTGGGGATTGACTATGCACCTCTTTAAGGACATTATTCACGGGGATGAAGATCACAGCTGTTTATCTCCTACAATCAGCTGTTGTGCTGGAAGCTGATGGTATCTGTTTGGACTGCGGGCTTGTTTTGAAGTTTGTGTGGCTCACAGCTTACGAGGTATTCTTTTTGTTGGCAATTGTTGTAGTAGAAGGTGTCTTTACGTCGTCTACCGATATGGTTGCTTTCGACATCTTAAGATTCAGCAGAAGCAACATTTAGTGAGACGGGTGATTATGTATTTGTAAGCGAGTATCTATTTGTGGTAGATAATCTTGTTCTGTTCATATAGCTGCCTATCCTCCTCCTGTAGCTAATCTATCAACATATGCTCTCTTATCTCTCCTTGCACAACGTTTGATGTCTTTATATTTCTTGTTGTAATCTTCTTTAGCCCTGCTTTCTTGTTCTGTTTTTCTTGCATTGCCTATAGCA